CTCCCTGGGCAGCCCATTCCAATGCCTAACAACCGTTTTGCAAAGAAATGCTTCCTAACATCTAGCCTAAACCTTCCCTGGCACAGCTTGGGGGCATTACCTCTTGTCCTGTATAATATAATAATGTATATAATATAATAATAATGTGTAGATAATTAATATTAATATTGTTTTGGTATTAATAATTAATATTGATAATATAATGTGTATATAATCCTGTATTCTAATTGCCTAAATTAGCACTCGGATTTGAAGCAGCCCACAACACCAGCACTCAGTGTCTTGAGCACAGACATAAAAGATATTTCTCCTTTTTCTCAGAACTACAAACTGTCTGAGGTCGGAAGGCACCTCTGGAGGTCATATTATCCAACACCCAGCTCAAGCAGGGCCACCTACAGCAGGCTGCCAAGGAACGTATCCAGACAGCTTTTGAATATCTCCAGGGATAAAGACTTCGTATCTTCCAAGATAAACTTGTTCCAGTGTTTGGGCACCCTCACAACAAATATTTATATAACCATTATATACATATAATGTTTAAATGGAATTTCCTCTACAGTTTGCGCTTGCTGCATCTTAGCCTGTCACCAGACACCACTGGAAAGAGCCTGGCTCTATCTTTTTTACAACTCCCCTTCAGGTACTTGTACACCTTAATAAGATGACCCCTGAGCTTTCTCTTCTTCAGACTAACAGTCCCTGCTCTCCCAGTCTTTCCTCCTATGGGAGATGCTTCAGTCCATTCATCATCTTAGGAGCCCCTCACTGGACTCCCTCCAAGCATGTCCCTGTTTCTCTTGTACTGGGGAACCCATAGTTGGACACAGTAGTCCACACATGGCCTCACCAGTGCTGAGGAGAAGGGATGGATCATGTCCATCATGTCATTGACCTGAAGGCTACAACCCTCCTATGAAGCCCAGGATACCATTATCCTTTGCAGCCAGGGCACATTGCTGACTCATGTTCAACTTGGTGTCCACTATGATCCTCACAGTCTTTTCTGCAAAGACTGGTCAGCCCCCATCATGTACTAGTGCATGGGGTGGTGCAACAGTCTGATGAAACCATATTTAGTGTCTCAAACATCTGATAAAGACCTTTGTTAAAGGAGATGGTCTCCATGGACACTCTGGGGTTGTGCAGGTAATGGCAGGAAGGGGACAGGGTCCCACAGAGGTGAGATTGAACTTTTCTGGGGCTGAACTTCCTTATCTTGAGCGACTCTGTGAAGAGCCAATAGAGAAGCCATTTTCACAATGCATGTGCCAAAAAAGTCAGACAATGCTCATACCTACAGGGAGCAGGTAGTAACTCTACAACAACCCCCAAGCCCACCAACCCATTTCCTGAAGATTCTGCAACTACAAACTACACATGCACCAAAACAAAGAGAATTTGAGAAGCACAGACTGTGCATGATGTCTGATTAGCCCAATGAGTCCAAGTGCCTACCTTGGGGAGGAGTGAAGTATTATAAAAGGGCATAAATCAAAGCCCTGGGTGGTACACCAGTCTGGAACTGGACATCTAGGCTGGCTAGACCAACACTGGAAGCAGAACTGGTAAAATCTTTCTTTTTTGTCTTACTCTCTCTTTCTCTCTTGCTCTCTTTTTCTCTCTTACTCTCCTTTTCTCTACCCCTGTATCCTTGTGTGTAAGGCAAGGCTTGTCGGAGCATGTTGTAAGATGTGCTGCTTGTGAGCGTATGTAGTAAGGTAGTTTGCCCCAGTAGAATATACAGTTTACCACTTGTTGCAGAGGTTGAAAGGCTTACTGACAAAGTTTCATACCAGTATCTGTGAGCAAGTAAAAGTTGAGCTTTGTGGATTAAAGAATCCCTGGTGTCATTTTGCCTTAATCTTGACCTGGGAATCAGCAAATCTGAATCATCATCCTGAGAAACTGGGACATGACAGGTTGTTCCTCCTCAGGTACAGGACTTCACACTTGTTGCTGAACTTCATGAGATTCCCATTAGCCCACTTCTACAGCCTGTCAAGGTCGCTCCGGATCAGGCACTCCTAGTCTGGCATCGTTTTGAAACTTGCTGAGTGTACACTCTGCCCCATTGTCCATGTCATTCATGTAGATGTTAAACAGGAGTGGACCCAGTATTGTGCCCTGGGACACACTGCCAGTTACTGGTTAGATCAGTGCTTCTGATCATCACCCTCTGGGTCCAGTTTTTCAGATAGTTCTTGGTCCACCTCACTGTCTGCCCATCCAGCCCATACTTCATCAACTTCCCTATAAGGATCTATGGTAGACAGTGTCAAAAACCTTACTGAAGTCGTCAAGGTAGACACTATCCATAAATTCCCCTTGTCTGCCAAGCCAGTCATTTTAGAAGGTTATCAGGTTGGTCAAGCATGATTTCCCTTAGTGAATCCATACTGACTACTCACGATCTCCTCCTTCTTCATGTGGCTAGAAACGCTTTTCAGGATTAGTTGTTTCATGACCTTCCCAGGAATCAAGGTGAAGCTGACCAGCCTGTAGTTCCCTAGGTCCTTTTTTTTGCTCTTCTTCAAGACAGAAACGACACTTGCTTTCCTCCAGTCTTCAGGCACCTGTCTCAATCACCATGATCATTCAAATATTATTGAGAGTGCCCTTGCAGTGAAATCAGTGAGCTCCTTTAGCACTTGTGAGTGCATCTCATCAGGACCTATGGACTTATGTAAGCCTGGTTTGCTCAAGTATTCTCCAACTTGTACCTCTTCCACCAGGGATAAGTCTTCCTTGCTCTTGACTTTCCCCAGACTCTGGGTCCTTAGATTACTGAAAGTTGGTCTTGCTGGTAAAGGCTAAGGTGAAGAAGGTATTCAGTACCTTCCATGTACTATGTCAACAGGGCTCCTGTGCCCCATTCAGCAGCGGGCCCATGTCTTCCCTAGTCCTTCTTTTACTACTTACATACTTATAGAAGCTCTTTGTGTTGCCTTTGACATCCCATGCCAGATTCAACTCCAGGTAGACTTTATTTTTCCTAACCATGTCTCTGCATACTCAGACAGTGCCTCTATATTCTTCCCAGGTTACCTGTCCCTGCTTCCAGCTTCCAAGTATTTCCTTTACATATTTGAACTTTGCCAGGAGCTCCTCATTCATCCATACAGGCTTCCTGGAATTTCTGCTTAAGTTCCTGCTCAGGGGGGTGGACTGCTCTTGAGCTTATGGTCCTTGAACATCCAGCAGCTTTTTTGGGCCTCTCCTCCCTCCAGGGCCTTTCTCCCATGGGACTCTTCCAAGTCAATACCTGAAGAGACCAAAGTGTTCTCTCCTCAAGTCCAAGGTTGTGATCTTTGTCCTGCTCCCTCCTCTTGGGAGCCTGAACTCCATCATCTCATGGCCACTGAAGCCAAGGCTGCCTTCAATGTTCACATCCCAACCTGCACATCCTTGTTTGTGAGTACCAGATCCAGCAGAACACCTCTCAGCACTTTCTGTTTTTTCCAGCATCTGACATATGAGTCTCTCTCAGTGAGCCTACCTATACTCCAGCAAGGCTTACACACTGGTGGGGATGGGTTACTCCAAAGCCACCTTCTGACTGTATCTCTTCTAGGATTCACTAACTCACCTTTGCCTAAATGCAAAACTTGATATGACAGTAAAAATCCAGCCATTACAAGTATTCTAATGCTGTACTAGTGAGTAAATGATACTGGTGGATCCAGCCATCACTGGAGTGATAGATATCCACACATCACAGCTACTCTTCATACATTTTTAACAACTTCCTTAAGACATTCTTCTATTGTTCTCATCACCTTTCAGCTTATACTTCACTTTTCATTGCTATCTATAAATGCTAAGCATGAACACAAGCTCCAGTCTTTCTCAGTACTCCACATTCTGATAACACTTACATGTTTAAATGCTGGAACTAAACATCATCTTCCCCTTCCATAGAGTACCACAGATTCCCTCCCATATCTCTGCTGGTTTTCTATGGCCTACAGACAAACTGCTCCTTAGTCTAGCATCTAATGAAAGTCTTAGTCTCAAGCACCTCCTTGTTTTAGCTGCACAAAAACCCAATAATAAATTTAATTTTCCTCCCAAATTTCCACTGTATGGCTTTAGCTAAGCTGGAGATAACAGCCAAGGCCCCTATAAAAACATTTTTAGCTTTAAGTATGCCAAGGAGTAACATGTAATGATGTGTAAATCTTACTCTTTTCTAATTTAATACTTCTCTGAAATCTGGAACTCTTTTTTAATCTCTAAGAGATCTTCAGAAAGAGATGCCTGTACATTTGAAATCACTTACTTGCTGTGCATCCCCAACTACCATGTACATGTGTATACTTCAGTGATTAATTACAAGAATGGAAATATACAATAGCATGCATATTTCTGCAAGCCTATCTAGAGCTTTAAGAATTGGCAATAAGTTATTAAGTTAGCCACTGAGCAGATAGAATACATTTCTTTTGTGACCCAAACATTTTTAAGTGTTTTTGTATCTCTGAGGGAAAAAAAGAAAAAACAAATGTTTGGAAGAAAAATTTACAGTTCTTACAATACTTTAAGACATGTACTTTAAGTCTGTCTAAACACATTTTTAATACTGTAGCCAGTAATTAAGAAAAGAAAAAAATGCTCTCAGAGACAACTGAGACCTAAGACCTACTGAGTTTTATTGCACAGAATAACTCCCCAGTGACATTAAAATTGCCAGTGTTTATCCCAGCAACAAATGTGATATATAGTCTAACTCTGCATTTATTGTTTTCTTCAAAAGTTTGAATCAACTAGATTAACACAATAGGTTTCCAATACATTCAGACTATTGTAACACTAACAGGTCACAACACATCATTATTTTTGATGAGTGGAAGAACTTTTTTGAGACAAACCTTATAACACTTGAGAAATTGTAACCTTTCCTGCAAAAAAGTAAATAGAATAAAAAAATGTACTACCTTGTCACTTTACAGCTTGACTCAATCAGCTCATTTTCAATATCCAACAGACTAGAAGGTAGATTGTATTCCAAAGGTGAGGTCATTCTTTTTAAACGCAGTAAGCCAATACAGAATTTTGCTCCCATCTCCTCCAGTTCTCTTGTCCCTATCTGCAATCCCTAATTTAAAAATAAAATTTAAAATACAAAATAGGTACATGCAGATGGACCCACACATACTATATAATTACTATTTAAAATACATTTTGTTATTTAATACACTCTCTTGCTCTAAAGACAGAACAAATAAGAACTGCAGAATAAACTTAAGAGTATCAGAGAAAGCTCAGAGAATAAATGCATGATTCATCCACATTCCTTTGGAGCTTCCTAGTCTACCCTTCGGGTACATCAGGTTTAAAAGGACTTTACCCAGTGGCAACGGAAAAGAAACAGAGATCATGTCCAAATTTGTAAGTATAAATTATTTTTAAAACCTGAGACAAAATTTATTAAAAAAGCTATTTCAAATACAAGACTCCACAGAAGTTCTGTCCGAATGGAAAAAAAAAAAAAAAAAATCAGTGAATTAATACTGTATCTGTGATCAAGTTCATAGCTATGTTCTAACACATAAATATATTTAAGGTAACAAAGTTACTCCTTGACACAAACACCTCTTCCCCACTTATTAATTTAGAGGCTCCATGTGTTAATTCTGAAAGTATTTATTCACACATTTAGTAATTAAAAGCAACAAACATGAAGTATCAAAAGCCATAGCTCTTTTCTAACTTGAATCAAGGCATTTTCCTCTGCAAAGAGTATTTAGGAGGTAGAACTTATAGAATATTCTCCAAGTTTACATATGTGATAAAGCCTCCCATCAGATAGTTCTACACTTTTCATTTAGCCAGCAGTGCAGTATGTAGGAACACAACCGCTAACCTCAATTACTTTATGAAAAGAGAATGATATTCCAGAGTGACCCTCAACAGTTATAGAATTGGCTAGTACTGACTGTAAATACATTAACAAATTCAATGGTACAACCCAACTCAATCTCTCTCTTTGCAATTTCTGTATCTCAGGACAATTTAAAAGGATTTTACTCTGGATATTCTAAACCGCTTAAGGTAAATGGTAGTTAAAAAGGAGCTTTGTCAAAACAAGCAGGGAAGCAGAAGAACCAGGAATTGCTGGTAAGCTTTTTCAAGTAGGAAAATACGTGATGCAAAAGAATGGAATAGGATTTTTTTTTACTAAAAGCTAAAAAAAACACACACACAAGCTTTGTATATGTTGCCACACTGATGTTGTATTTTTAAAATACAGGCTTTAAGAGAAAGTGTTATGTTGCTCCAGAAATGCTACAGTCTGAACATTCTTCATGTACTTCTGTTTGGAGCGTAAGCACACTTAATAAATGGAAAGTTTGATGTAATTTTTCTTGTGAGATCTTTTTTTTCCTCAGTAGTCTTAATAAACAAAGTGCTTTTTAGTAACAAGAAGGCTAAAGCTATATCCACTATTCTAAACAGTGCCATCCTCCAGCCAAATGGTACAGAAACCCATTAGCAGTGAACAAGAGTTGGATATTTCAGTATTATTGTTAATAGTAATACTACTTACCTCTTTTATAATGCTTTTGTGCTGTAGGTTTCAAAGCACTTTATTAATAAAGGAAGAATTATCCTCACTTTACTGATGGAGAAATGGAGGCAGAGAGGGTTGAAGCGATTTGCACAGTGTCTCACAGCATGCCACTGACCCCGCTGGGAACAGAAATCAGTTCTCCTCACTCCCAGTGCAGTACCTTATCCACAGAGGCCAATTTTTTGTTTTTGTTTTGTATTTGTTTGCACGTCAGTAACATTCGAGGACCCCAATCATAGCTGGGGCTCCACTATGCTAATCACAGGAAGACACAGTCCCTGCCCCAAAGAGATTAAAATAACATTAAGGACAAGAGGCAACAAGTATGCAGAAGTGGAAGAAGGGTAACAGTAATCTCACTGTTACACAGGTTACTAACGTGCACAACTTGATGGATCAGAAACTTTTCCAATCATTGTCTACATCCGTTGCTGAAGAAGATATCGTTAGTTGGCAGATGCCTTATAGACAGTATACAGGAGTGGCTTTAAGTTGAAAAAGGACAAGAGCACAATATGAAAGAAAGTGCAAAGACAATTGTTAGAAAGATAAATAGCGTGTGCATGTTCCGTGGCTGCTATTTTCATCACAGCCAAAAGAGAATATAATTAAAGAGAGACTAAATGGATCAGATTGGGGGTGGATAACTGAAATGCCTGCAAGTTAAGTTGGAACTTACTATACTGAAGGTTCTATATACTTGCAGTAAATGCCCATGCCAAACTCTAGATTTGCTTCTGTCATTTCTTTAAATCGTAATAAAGAATGCAGTACTACACAGCTGCCAAATACCAAATTTCTTAATTCATTATTATTCTTCTATCAGTCAAATCTCTTCACTTCCATTAAATAAGAGACCTGAAGCCTGTTTCAGCAAATAGTAATAAACAGTTGCCCTAAATAAGGGACCTGAGGTGAAGTTAATTTTCACTGAAGCCGTGATTACACACCTCTTCTTGATCTTCCAAACACCTGTTCTAGTACCTTTAACTGCAGACTATTAAAGTTCCTTAAGTGTTACAAGGATTGCTTTTAAGCACAAGCCTTTTTTTTTTTTTTTTTTTTTTTTTTTTTTTTTTTTTAACATGTACTGAATTTTATTCTTTTTCTTTACATTTTATACATCTGTCCTTCTTCTAGACAGTAACATTTTAGATGGCTGGTCGAAGTCTTCCTTACTAAGCATGTCATGAAAATACTTTCACATGAATACAGTATCTCGGTGTTGAGCTTTCCTTCATGAAAGCAAAGATGCAAAACCAAGGCACAACAGATTGTGACCTCAAGTTGAGAAGAATATTCCTGTAATATGTCAGTTGGACAGTAAGACATCACCTTGCTCTGTGTTCTTATTCAGCAGAGGCTACAAAGTTGTGATCATTTTTGAGAACTCAAAATCTAGAGACTAAGGAATCATAGTAACTGACAAAGTTTGTTGACTGAATCCTCATGTCCTAAAGTCTTCTCTTTACCATGTATAAGAATTCCAGGTAACAAAAATCTTTTCAATTAACTTAAAAATTAAGCAATACTCCCAAATTTATTAATCTTTAATCAGGAGAGGGATTTATTTCAGTTTTCACATGGTTTGAGCTATTGAAGAAATTGTTCTTTTTTGTCTGACATCTTAATTATCCTCCATAGTAGATCTTGGAGCACCTTTTGACCTGCGTGTTTGCTTTCCAGTATCTTGAATCACAGATGACTGGGCAACATTTGCAACACTAGTTCTCAATGTACTACAAAGACACCACACAAACAGTTAAAACAAGACTGCTTCCATTGATAACTCTGTCACCAGGGATCTTAAGTTCAGGTAAGAATTGCTAACTTCAGTTCAACAGCTTCCTGGCTGGAAGTAGTCTAGCATCACCATTGTCTGAGTAAAACAAAAAGGAATAAAAATTTGATGTTTTGATATTATCCAGCTTTAGCAAAGACTCAGCATTTCTTTCACAAAGAACAGAGCTGTTGAGTAATCCTTTGTGTTTTGAACAAAATTCAGCAATGCCATAGCAAAAGACAACTGGAAAAGTGCTTCAGACCCCTACATTATACATGGTCAGATCTGAACTGTCCTGTCCTTTGGGATGGGAAGTAGGAGGGGAGGGAATTACTACAGTTTAACTCCTCCTTGTATTTTGAAATAACATATTATGAAATATGTCATCTGATTTATACCACAAGATTATTCAGAGTCGCTGGTCCCACTCCCTCCACAAATGCTGAGACTATTCATCTCTTTGACCCTCTCACTGGAGAAATGTTGCTCTTGTTCTCTCTAGTCACCTTGGCCTTTTATATACGTTTTATTAGTAAGTCTGAGCATTATCATAGTGAAGAAAAATGAAGAATCTTCCTGTTATGTTCAGAGAATGACTAAGACCTCACAAACTGTTTTATTCCAAATGAAATGAATGACAGAACAGCAATTTGATCTCATCAGATAGATTATATTACAAAGAAGAATGCTCTTGCCTTTTGAGTAAATGATTTTTCCACAGAATTGAGCCATTTTTTCCTCCCTTAACAAAGAACAGCTTTTCAGATTAAGCATCTTGATAGTTCAACCACAAAGCATCTTCAATTCACCTTTCTTAAGAACTCTCTGTAGCAACACTGCTAAAGCCATAAAGGTTCATGCTTAAGAATATTCTAGAAGTTTCAAAAAGAAGCAAGTTGGATGTACTGTTATTTTTTAAAGCTCCATAATGATGTCATCTGAAGAATAATGGAATGTTCCGACAATAGCAGGAATGCTTCTCTTGTTAATTGATGAAGTTAACTCATTCATTTAGTAGTTACAAACCTACTGAAATTTCTGCCAAAATATCTGTCTTCCTTCTGTCTAGGGAGATAAGCAGGGGAGTTGTAGCATAACTTAATACATTAAAAATACCTTGTTCTAACTTTTATTTTTTGTTCCTGCCCCACCCCCATCCTCTTGATCCCAGCCTTCTGATCCTCTTTTTTGCAAAGCACCTTGACTCTTGTGGTCATTTTCTTGATTAGCTTTCCTAAACTCTATTTTCAAGCAGAAGAAATTGTGACTTCTACCATGAATATTAATTTTAAAAACTTGATTCAATTTGTAGCTAAATTTAACCCAGTGACAGGAGTTGAAGATCAGATGTTAGGGCGGTGGTTCTTTTTTCTCTACAAATATTTCTTTAAACTAAATTTTCTGCTAGTGAGAAACTACAAACAGGGGCACCTTTGTTTTCAAAAATCCAGCCCTGTTAACATTTTTGAATAAGACAAATTGAAGACAAGTTTTAATTGTATTTATAAGCCTGTTTCTGCAGCTACACAGGAAAATTCTGTAAGGGACATTACTAAATATCTGCTGAAGAACCAAGAACTGCCATGGTGAAGTCTGAAATTACCATTTGTACATGAAATTCTTATTCTAATATTGGCACTTATTACTATCCAATTCTAATAATTTACTGGAAAGAAAAATTCCGGGTTTTTAACTACATATGATACATATGTATTAGAAGCAATAATATACATCAATCTTGTTAGAACAGCCAATAAGTATAACATACTATGGGGAAGGGGTTAAGTGACAGATGAAGACTGCTATGCAATCTATAATACTGTGAAGTATGTAATTTCACTCTAACATTAGTGTACACAGATCTTAGATGAGTTTTAGAAGTTTAAAGCAAGCAAGCAAGTGGGGTTATAGAACAAGATATCAATGCAAATGGAAGAAATTATAAAGCAAGAACAGTTTAACTGATTATTTTCTTACCTTGTATTTGCCCTGGTCACATCCACATAACGTGCTTTCCATTGTGTAGCTCCTTTGTACTCCTATTTCTCTCCAGACAACAACTCGTGCTGTTGATTCCTTGGACTTTTCCACTACAAAGCTGCAGCTGCCCATGCAGAATGCTGGGGCTGTTTGACTCAGAATCTTGGGGAGTGCCTGCAGGACATTAATTTGAAAAATTCAACAGTTATTTTACTTCAGCTACAGAAGCAGGGAGTGGGGGAGGAGAATATGCAGTCATAAACTATTACAAGAAAAGTTTGCTGCAATTCAAATTAAAAGAACAAGAATTAAAACTTTCTCCATATTGAGTTTTCAAAACTCAGTGAGGTCAAGCAACAATAGGTTTGCCATTTCCTACTTATTAAAATCCTCCTTTTCCTATTCAATACCTAAAATTAAGTGTTAGTCAAGTGAGTAAGAATCAGGATACAAAAGAATTCTTCAGGTGATCACCATCTCCTCCTAATTCACCTAGCTACCTTTTCTCAAATTAAGTCTACTACATACCCCATCTAATTAATTAATTAAATGAAGCTTCAGACTCAACAATCCAATTTGCAGACATAACACAGTATTTCATTAATATATAAAATTCCATTCGTATTCAGCAAAGCACTAGGTACATATTTAACCTCAAGAATGTGAATAAAAGTTCATCGTTAACTGTTTACATGACAGCTTTGGAAAAAGACAAGAAACAGTTATGCAAATATCTGTATTTCACTAATGCTAAATGACTACATTTTTCCAGCTTTTATTTGTATCAGTTAAGCCAAGAAACACATGAACACTCTGAATTTACTATTTCAGTAGTACATATACCATTACTAGTACAAGCTTGCCCAAATGTTTTAGTCCTCTTTTTTGAAATGTTTTTTCCAAAATGTTTTTTCCACACATCTGTTATTGACTAATGTCATTTGTGCACTACGGTAGTGCAGACTGAAATGACAAAACTCCATGTGATAAAACCCCATATATAAAAATACGGTGAGCAGCAGACATGAATGGCATCAGACTCAGCATCCAGGAAATGACAAGAAAATCATGGAGTGACTGATTTTTATTTTTTTTTTTAAATTAGGGAGATTTGAGGAAAAAAAATCTGAAAGCATTTGTAAGCATTTATACTCACGGATGTATAACAAACATTTCAAAGTGTATTCCATGAGTTTTTCAAACTTCGCTGCATCTTCTCAAAAAACCCACGGGGTTTGGACGCATTAGGTTGCATAGATTTGCAGTTGCCACAAGGCGGCAGTAGAGTTACACAGAAACGGGTAAACCGTAATTGGTTATAAATATTTTGGAATTTTTGAAAGCATATACAATGAAATGGATGTCGTTTGCTCAAGTTTCTTAAGGCACATGCTTTCACTACACATCTTTATAAAGAGGAACCTTGCCTATTTCCATACAAAGATTAGTATTTCTCAGAACAATTCAGTATTTTTAATTTTTTGTTGCTAGAATATTGTTTACCATGCTTAAGTGACTCTTTTTTTCATTCAGTCCTTATAAATGCACAGAAGTGTATTTTCCATGTATTTACTCTAATGGTTATGTTGAACACAAAAAAGCATATATTGGTACAAAGACCAAAGAAACCCTAAGGCACCCTACTAACATTAAATCCTTAGCTATATTAGTGGTACAATGTCTAAAGCTCTCAAAATACTCTGAAGTACCCTCATGAACTAAAAAGAGATCATTCTAAGTCTGCTTATGCTATAAAGTCACTATGTGCACAGAATAATATTGGGAAAATAATTGAAAAATATATTCCAAATTCATGACAAGTGAAAAAAGTACAAATGTTGAACTTACCCTGTAACAAGGATCTTCCATCAGGTCACAAGAGGCGGCATTAACATTTGTGTGCCACATTGTCTCTTTGATGCTGCAGCCATACATAAATACATTCTTTTTACGAGAGTGACCATGATAATCACAGTAGACCTACAATAAATAATTTGGCAAAATAAAGCCAAGATACATGGAATTAACATTTCATAAAAGAAACAGACAAAAATTTGTATTTGTACTTTTGAAGAAATTAGGAAACATGACTCCTTATATAATTAATTTGTGTCAAAAAGTGTAGGATTCACCTGAGGAAGGTTTAACCCTCTACCCTAGCAAAAGAAAGATTTAGATATAAAGGTTTGCAGAAGACCAGTTCTCCAAGTCAAATTTAAGTGTGACACAGTTTACAAGAACGTATTAAAATGCTTAATTTACAGACTAGCTACATAGACAAGATTAGAAAGATTCAGAATTGCTTACACACACATACTCACCAAAGGTAAACGTTTTATAGCAGCCAGATATTGCAGTAACCCTTTAGCATGGTAAATAGTGGGATGCAGATCTGGATTTGGATTTTGCCACTGTCTGTTTAAATCTTCTCCACTTAAAGAGCAACGGTGGCTATTGTGGGGGGGGTGGAAAAACGCATGATGTAGTCTGCATTATCATACTTTTAAATAAGCCTCCCCCCCACCTCCAGTTTTCCTCATCACCACTGTTTCTTTGGAAGGAGTCTGGTAAGAAACAAACCTCAGTTTTCTAACATGCCAAGTAATAGAAGTGTTTGGGGTTTTTTAAGTTATGTTTCAAAAAAACCTAAAAATAAGTTAGAAGTAGCTTCTTATATGAAAGCCAATTGTAATCTTGCTTATTTGCTGTTGAAAATGAAGGCTTGCAGTTCTATTCAAATGCTAGTTTGAAATCACTGATTTGTAATATATGGCATCTTTACAGCTTTGGTGTCAACTTCTGTAATATAAAGACTAACGTCAATCTGAAATCTAAGACTTGAAACATGTTAGGAGACACACTGCTGTGAGAAAAGAAAGAAAGAAAAAAAATAAACAACCAAAAAGCCCAGAGGCCAAATGAAGATAATCTCTGTATTGAGTCAGCTATCAGACAGAATTTTTAAATTTACAGAAATTCAAGTTCATGCATTCATCTTCAATACATTTGTCTTTAGATTGTGTCTGCTGAGACAGAGTTCTTAATTGTCACTGTATTAAAATTTCACTTGTATTCTGAATTATTTAATTCCAGGTCTTCTGTTCTATGCATGCTTTTGTATATATAAAGACAGGGTTCTACTCAAATCCATAACTGATTGTATTTTTATTTTGTTCACAAAACCTTTTAAAATACTACCCATAACTAGGCTAAGAAGGAACCACAGATTCACCATACCAAAATTTCCATTTCATATTAATTCCTTCTAACCAAGTAAGTATAGACTGATGAATACCTACTCATAGCGGTATCAAAAGTTTCTGAAATATCCCTTAGATTTGTTAAGAAAAGTGGTAGTAAGTGAAAGAATTACTATTAATAACTTTAAATCAGGATATTCTCTTATGCTTTCTCTTGCCTGTTAACTTTCCCCCTTTTAATAACACTTGACAACATGCATTTCTATAACATCCTTCTAAAAATGGTAATTTGAACAAGAGAAAAAAATTATGTAAAAATCTGTCTCAGATACAAGGACTATTCTTTTTCATGAGAACCACGAACTTGTTTCCTAAAAGCAGCTGTGCTCTCATATAACACTCTACACCTAATCTAAGACACTAGTTCAGAGACAATTAAAATACCATGTCAAATCACACAGAAATTATCGTCCATGAACAACCGAGAATACATTTTATAAAACTGAAATTCATGGAACAATGTATTTGCCTTTAAAAAAAGCCCAAAAATGGAAAAATTCTTTGCAATTTTATGGTTGTTTTTCAGATCATCATGAATCAATGTTTCTCATATTGCATTTTTACATTTCTGTGATTAGTTTAGATTTTTTTCTTTTAAAATAACAGACACAAAAACTTAGTAGTACAGGTTACATATTTGTGAGTAAACTTATGCTTACTTTCCATTGATGACACCATCTGGATTGAGCATGGGAATAATTTTGAAAATGTAAGATTCTCGTAAACATTGGGCACTTGGATTATTGCTCATAAGGTATTCCAGTGTTCCTTTCATAACCCAGCTTGCATTAGTCTCTCCAGGATGTACACGAGCAGACAGGAAAACATAAGGACGATTCCCTAAATGAAGTATGCATAGAGGTTGCAAAATACGACTCAAGCTAAGGAAACATTTTGTTAACTGAAAAAAGAGGTAATAACCAGCTTCCTTTGTCACAATGGAAAATACAGTATTTGTAAGGTTTTTATTAAGTATTATTGTTATTGATAGAGCTTGCCAGAATATTGTTATAAGGACTGCTAATTACAGAACTCTCACAATGGAGCTTTAAATACAATCAAACAATTACACAGTCATGACTAGTTTGAGCTGGCAATTACGGTATTATGACTTTGATGGCTTTTTTTCCAATAGCCAAGAAAAATACTGAGGTGAAGGAACAAACCAGGAATGCTGTCATAACTAAAGCTCACTTTAAATCTTAGTAGCTTAGATATTGGCTTTATGAAAGATTTTTTTGTCAAGCAAATAACCTGAGCATTTGGAGAAAAAAGTTATTTGGAAATCAGGTATTCTTTCCCAAGTGTAGTCTGCAAAATGTAACATACAAAAATATATAGCAACTGATTTAAAATATATGTATATACTCTTATATATCCAGATATAAATATCCTTACTTGACTACCATAAATAAATACTATTAAATGAAAATCCTGAATATTGATGCATCTTAATTTTATTGAATTCATTAACTTTATTTTACATTGCTATTTCTACAATGCACAGCAGTTAATACTGATTTTTTTTCATAAAGAGCTAGTTTTACATTATGTTCAGTTGATAAGAAAGAGAAGTCATACTTACTGAACTGACGGATGTGTTCACAATAATTGGACTCCGGCATGGCTGTAATAGTGACTAAGGGACAACTGTTACCAGCCAGGGTCTCACAGAGAACATCTTGTCGAAAATATATCTGTTGAGGGTTGTGCATAGATTCCAGCTTCTGAAGATGCATCTTCATTACAAAAATAATGAAAAAATACTTCAAATCTTTTGCAGTTACATATCACAGAATATTCCATAAGTATTATTTAACCAATCTTTATTATTCTAAACAACATTCAAGTCTCCATCATAATTTTGACCATGAAATAATCGCTCTCTACATCTCTGACTACTTTATAGAGCCTGGTTTTCCAACTGCTTTGAGGAAAATGAAGGGACTGAAGGTACATTATTTTCTACCAGATGATACTGTAAGGGTATGTGGGAGAAAAGAACCTCTACTTCATCAAGGTTATCTGATCAGGGACCTTTTCAGTGCAAAAGGGGATAAAGAGGGAGAAGAAATAAACAGGAACAGAGAAAAACAGTCCTGCTTGCTAGACAAGACATAACAAAAACAGTAACAAAGACCAAAGTCTCCAGTCTCTAACTGACTGGACATTAAGAATCTACAGGCAAAGCTTTGGCAAGAGTCACCTAAGGGACAAGAAGGAAACAAGAACAACTTAAGGATTTGGGATAGCCAAGGGGGGCTTGTGAGACTATACAAAATTTACGCACCTGATCCCTACAGTCTGCTCTTACTTACATCTCTGTGCAGTCTCACTCTCTACTCCACTCATACAAGTGCTGTCTGGACTGGGTGCAACTAACAAGAAAGGTGTGAGTGGATTTGGGGTCAGCATCAGTGCTCTTGAAAGCACCTCCGTGGGCACTACAGACTACTGTTGGGATTAAAATCAGTAGACTTGGTACTAGCAATGCAAGCAAGAGGGGATCTCGGTGCCAGCTACTGGAATGTGTAAGGGTCTTGGTGTCCAGCCACTGGGGCAAGAACAGTGTGTGTCCCAAAAACCAGCTAGTGGGGTGTTAAGGGTCAGTGAAACAAGGGTAGGTGTCCTCAGCGCCTAGAGAAAGAACAAGGGTTACAAGCCAATGTGCCTGGTACCAGCTGCTGAGGGCAGGGGGCAAGCATATGCATCTTCCCCAAAGCCACTGTACATGGAGGGGTGTGTGTGCAATGTGCTAGCAAATTTCAAGGTGGACTACCCACAAAGTATGAGGCCCCAGGCTGAGGCAGGGATATCAGGTGGGCAGAGAGTCCATACTGGCATCTGGGGAGAACCACAAGTGCAGAGTGCCAGTGAGACAAGTGTGAGAATGCATGCATCTGTTTACTAGTGAGCACCAGGCTGGACTAGCCTGCAATTAGGAGGCCTGCACAGCAGGTAAGAGGCAGGGGTGTGGCACAGATGGGCCATGCTAGTTGTTCACAAATGTGTGTGTGCTTCTGATTCTAGGGTGGAATTTCAGCTGGGAACAGCAATCCTGATCAGCTGGAGGAGGAAAGGGACCTGGGTGTCCATAGTTCTATTTTAAGCAAGTCCCAGTAGTGTTACACACAGTTGCTGCTGAAGGCAGCACCTTGTCTGTGCCAGACTGTGTAGCCAGACACGCTGGGAGGGGATGGGATGTGCAAGTGTGTGTGCATGAGTCTCACTCTCTCTTTGGGATACTCAGACTCACTAGTGGTTGAACCTACAAGCAAGTAGGAAAGCACTAGCCACATCCATGAGCCTGAGACAGACACCCCCAAGGGTCCCTTGGCTAGGCTCCAGCAGCCAGGCAGGAGGAAGCACCAGGCCCCAGAGCTGTTGGAGGCAGCAGCCACATATAACATCCCTTAACAGGTACTTCTTCCAAGACCAAGTATGGCTTAGTAAAAAGTTCTGTTCAACTCCTACACACTAGCCACTGAATCCCCAAGTTTGCTTTTAATGTTATTGCAGAAAAAAAAAATCAACAGACATTCTAGACATGAGTTTTGCTTAGTACTAAAAGCTTCACAATACTTCCTTAGCCAATTCATTATCCTAAAAAGGTCTCTAATTATCTTAAATATAGTAACTGAATAGGTCAGTTATGAAGAGGTGTATGTAGAACAGCATGATATGAGTAATTTGACTCAAACACAAATACTTCATCCAGTTAGCACCGTTTCCAGTCAATTATGAATTATGATTCCCAGAAAACCCATTTAGCCTGCAAGTAAGTATCAATTTTATTTTTCCGGGCACTGTTCTTTAGAACGACCTAGACACTTTGCCAGTCTAAACATGAATGTTTTATGAAAATTCTCATTTTAAGGAGTATTTTGAACTTCATAAAAAGAAATAAAAAGAGTTCACTCTTGAATGCTTATGTTTCACATTGTCCAAAAGTATAAATATATGTATATAACAGTTCATAATCTTCTCACCTTTAAAGTTGAGTATGTATATGGATAATGGTAAGCAAAGTAGCAGACATCATCTTTATGTTGGAAAGTCACTGTGAATGTAATTGTGTAATAAGATTTTCCTTTCTGACCTCCAGCAGCAATTGAACTTCTTGAAAAGTGATTCCTAATAGTAAAATGAAGGTAATAAACACATCAGAATTTTTTTTTTCAAATCATTGATTATTCTTGAACACACATTCTAAGAGCCAAGATGATTTTTAGTGACTGTATTTCTCTCCTATGTACATAAAGGTTAAATGCACTATTTCCCAGTATCTGTAAAGACACTTCATTATAACAGTGACAGACCTTCATACATACTGGGAAAAGGTGAGCAAACAAAAATGAGTAACAAAACAAAACAAAAGCATGCAAACAACTGCCAACCAAGATGGGTAATGCATGGATATACTGTACCATCTCATCCTGTGTTCCAGGATTGCTTTACAATGACTATACAACAGAATACAGGAGCCTAATCACAAGCACCACATGATCAGTGTTACTGGAAGTCACTATTAAGATTTCAAGCAAACATGCATATACACATTCCCTTAAAAGCTTCTCTGGAACAGTATGCAATTTCTGACAAAAGTATAAGGAGAGGAACAACTTAAATATTAGCAGTGTGCTAACAAAATAAGACCCTATATATTTTGATCACTTCTGTTACTCTCCACAGTAACTCAAGAAGAAAACTCTGTTCACAACAGACCTACTAAAATAGAATTATCAGACTCAGAAGAAAATATTTCTCCTCAAAAATTGTACCTCATACTAATCTTCAGTATAAGATCTGCTGTATATTTGACTGGTGTACTCACTTATAGTAACAAATATCTGTCCCAACACGAGTCCAACATGGTCGAGAACATAATGCTTCTTGAACAGAATACATGAGGGGCTGCATACCTTAAAGAAAAAAAAAAATGCATCTCGCTTTAATTCTTAACATTAAACATCAAGATCTTTGCAGTTGTGTTTATTTGTTGGATGTGTTGACCACTTCAACACTTATATGCAAATCTCCAAACTACCTATATTCATTTACTCACTATCATAAAGTGTATTCTCATGAATGCCTGGGTACTGTAAACTCTTTCAACTAGGTGACAAAGGATTCCTTCCTCTCTCCCCCTCATCAAGTCCTAATTTTAAAAAAATAACAAATTAAGAAAAAAAAAAAAAATCAGACCTACAGAAGACCAAAATTAAATGTTTAAATGAAAGCTGTAGTTAGCATGAATGGTAATCTACAAGAAGTCTGTAGTACCACTCCCTCCAACTCACCATTCCAAAAAGGCTTCAGAAAGAATACAAAAAAATGTTACTATCATCCATTTATGTGGACACTTGGAAAATAACTGATGTTTCAGGATATTTTTTTTTTAAACAGTAACTCTTCAAAGTTTATCTTTTTTAGAGAGTATACTGAAGTTGAATACTTAATATGAAGTTAGAGTAGAAGTACATATTAATTGAACATTATTTACTAGCTAGATAGCCAAATACATTGATTGATTCAGTAAAAAAGTAACTATCAGGTTAAGTATATGCAACATATGAATGATGATCCAATGTAACTGATGAAGATTAGTCTTATTACTGGTCAAACTACCTGGTATTCTTGGATTTTATCACTGTGAATTGTACCAAAGAAGAATATGATGTTACTCTGTCCCAAGAGTTTAGCGGGAGGCGAGGGGAGCTTCTCCTCCTCCTTTTTAAAGGACAAATTTCAGAAAATCCAGCAGGAAAAAAAAACCCTAACAAATGGTTTTAAGCTGAGTGATACACACCTACCAACAAGTGGAAGAAAGGTATAATAAAATAAGACAGAACTTTTGGATGAGGTACAAGCAGCAAACGCTAGTCACTGGGGACTGCAAGGGTCACCTATGAAGCCCAGCATTTCCATGGAGACTTATTTTTTCTTCTTAAATAATGTGCCTCTCTCCCCATCAATAAGAGAAAACTGTTTGAGAATGTCTCAACAGGCTTTGGTGTTGATGCCTCCTACAGCGGTTTTAGGACAAATTTTAGCTGCAGCTATGAGTACATTTCTTCTGCTTTGGCCTCACAACAAAACTTAATTTTAAAAACTGACAGCCAGTGTTTTAAGGCACCTTTTTTTCCCTTTTTAACTGGAACTTGTCAAAACTTTTTCTAGTAATACTATTGAAAAATAATCTGATCTGACAGCATGAACACACTACTGATCCCAGCTGAGTTGTCTAGTACAGGTATTTTTCTATGCATTTCTTCTCCAAGCATGGAAAATGGGATCTTACCGTAGTTAAACTGACTGTTTGACTTTTCACAGTTGATGATGTTAAACCGGTAACCAATGCCAGTTTTCATTCCACTGACTTCAAAGTAAAACCACTGATGATAATGATTGCTATTTATGTCTGAATTCAGAATTAGATCATACTCGTTTCTAAAGATGAACAAAAAAAAAAAAATCAATCTTTTTTTTAAGAAGCAGAAACAAAAAGCCTCATGTGTGAAGCACTGAAATATCTTACCTTCTGATCTGAATAACTTTGCGCAGGTTTCCAGATTCAAATTTGGAATTAAACTTCAAAACATCTGCTTCCTCTGGTACTGAACAACTGTGAGTAGCAGAAGAAAATGGACCAAAATGACTAAGACAGACTTAACTAAAACAAACTCATTAACTTTATTTTAGCTCTCACTTGGTAATTCATAAGAAGGTTCAAAATAATTTCTAAATACAGCCTGGACAGCAGAAACATTGTTACATCAGATGAAACCTTCACTGAAGTCTAACATACTAGTACTGATTTAAATATTACAAATCATATCACAAAGAAAGAATAACACGCTTAGAGAAATCACTGAATATTGTTTTCAGAAGGGTAAAAAATTACCTCAAATTATCAAGGTCATACACAACTCTGTCTATAATGTCATTTTGATGAATCAGTCTTTCAATATCTTGAGAGATTTTTGTCCTAAAATAAAAAGCAGAGTTCTCAAATTGTTGCATACTGTTTCCAATCACAAAAGAGGTACCACCTCATACAACAATGAAAAACTAAGTTGACATGAAGACAGTGGGACAGATTTTCAGAGAGACCTCAGCCTTATCCCCACTTATGTGCACAAACTATAAGTGTACTTAAGTTTAAACACCTGCATTCACGGCTGACTGAGTCCACTATCTGTATGTGAGGGAACTGAGTTTTCATGCACACAACCACTGGGCTTTATCTTATGGAAAAAAAAAAAGCACCATTTCATACTTTATAGTAGAAGCAGAAATTACTCAAACATTACTTATGTTAATGCTTTAATCCAGGACAGCACTTGATAACATTAGTAATTTACATGAGTCCTACCATAACTAAAATGAAAGAGTTTTAGAGAGTAGGTCGTGCAGTGAGTGTGTTAGTGCACTAGCTTTTCACCTCTGAAGATCTAGGTTCATTTATCGACTAGGTAACAAATAAGAATGAATTTGGTGATGTCAGACAAATGTCAGGTGTATGTTTATCCAGATCATAAAACCATTGCACAACTGGCAGTATCTACGTCCTGGTTTGGAAAAGTAAGTATGTGTTGCAGTTCAAGAATGAAATATAGTGGCAGAGCTGTGTGGAAAAAGCTTCCACAGCACCTGCAATAAGAAGAAAAGGAGGCAGATTAACAAGAATATAGGAAGTGAGCGGTAAAGTATGTTCAGGCTGGAAATTCTCCATTTAATTAAAATAAATATTGTTAACAAATGAGAAATAGAAGGCAAGTGCACACAACTCTAGTGCCTCTTATTAAATTAAAACTATTGGAAAAGAAAATAAGTCCAACGTACTGACAAAATTGTGAAGAGGCTGACTCACCACAATCTACCTGATCAGGTTCAGCTCAGGGCAGAACTACAGATTTTTGATCTTGCATTTGATCTTACACAACTCCTTAAATCTCAGTGTGCCTCAGCAATAAAAGGGTCATAATAATTATTATCATCATGGAGTTTTACCAAGACAAAATCCATTAATGAGTATCAGGCATTCAAATACCATACTAATAAACAACGTACACAAAAGGAAAAGAAGCAGTATTCAAAATATACACGAAAAGGAAAAGTAGTAGTGGACATTTTTAGGTTCTGAAAAATCAAGAGAAAAGAGAAGCTATATTAAGATAAAGGGAAGGAAATATAAAAACAACACTGTAGATGTGGAGCTTTGTGTTTATAGATCTGTCTTTTGTGGATCCTGATTTACTTGTTGATTGCTTTTAAGTGTCAGATGATTAGAAAATACTAAAGTAATTAGAAAATACTAAAGTGTACAGCAAAAATCAACCTAAAATTTTAAAGAATTAAAAAAAATAGGAATTTAAACCCAAATGTAGATGGTATCAAATTCTGCAGTAAATTTTTCCCTAAAAAGTAAAATAATCTAAAACACTTCAGTGACATTTTTCCAAACAGTAAGAATTCAGTGAGACATTTGGTGAAAATTACATATTACTAAATGTAAATGAAAAAGCAAAATCACTCCAAAGCAAACGCAAAACCACTGCATCTCTTAGAATACTGCAATACTAAAAAAACCCTCCAAAACGTAAAAACCCCACATCACATGTGTCTAATAAAGTAAAAAGAAAAGCCTAACTCCCCCCCTCAGTCCCCCACAATGTTTCCTTAAATTACAAGGATGGATTAAGGCAACCATTTGTTTTTTGAAGAAGATTTAGATGATGAGCAGTAACTGCTTACATTAAGGAGAAAACAAATCCCACCAAATGCCAAGAGTTTAGACATAGCTTCTCCATGTTCCCTACCAAACTAATTTTCACCACCTTTCTATAAACTATAATTTTAAACAGGTTCTCTTCTCAGAAATTTGTTACACTGCAGTAACAAGAGTGAGTTATTTGTAGAAAACTGAATTCTCAGAATAGCCTACCGTAAAAAGGTGATGCAGGGCTTTTAATTCAAGTTTAGCAATACTACCTGATATTTCATTCTTGTTTCACACAAGACCTAAAAAAGTTACTTTCAACACAACATAGAAAATACAACAAAAATAAAACATTTCAAACTTTAAATAAAATATACACTAGAATTACCTTCACAGTTTAGAAATTGGCTTTATGTATAACCACACAATAGATTTGTTGGTTAAAAGTCAGAATTAATACAGTGCTTTATATCCAAGAAGAACAAGCATTGGAATAACAAATTTTATCTGACTTCACTCAATTTTACTCAGGAAAATTCAGAATTATTAAGTATTACAAAAACATACATTAAGATTTGCGAGATTTTCTAAAAACGCAGTTCTTAAGTGATTTCTGACTCAAGACTAATCCCCTTTTAAATCAGCTGAATCTGTTTAAAAAATAAACTTATAGAGAAGATTCTTCTCCTTCAACACTGAACAGCACTTTCTAGTAATGGTATATTCCCGATGTCATTAGTGTATCAACTCTTGGGCATTTCACTAGAAAGATCACCTTTTTACGACGTGTGAAACAGCTAAAGGATTTTAATTATACAACCTAAATACACTTAATCTCTTAATCATTTTAATAACTAAGTGTAAATATGAAGCATCTCATGGAAACTGGAATTATAAAGCTGAAAGCATACAGCAAGGTCCCATACCTACTATTACCTGTTCTGCTAAAATGCTGATCTGTCTTCATAGTAACTTACTATGCATATGGGCCAGCTCTTCATACCACCCCTGCTAATTATTCAAGAGTCACATCACCCTTTATCATCTCCTAATATCACTTAGTAAAGAACTAATGGATGTGCTGGTCTGTTGGGTTTCGCTGGTTTGTTTTAGTTTTCATTCTGTGTTTACTGCGTGTCATTCTGCCGGACCTAACACAAACTGCATCCTCAGTATTTGTTATCTCTAAATTCTGTTATGCTGCAATTACTAAAAACAAACAAGTGTATTAATTTTTAAATTTTTCCCACTACATTTTCCTGAACAATAGTTTTGTTAGCACAGCAAAGAGAAGAGCTGAAGTATCTTTAAACTATTAACTCCTATCTTTGCTAAGACCTGAAGGGAGCATTCTGGTGGGCTTTTTTGTATTTGTTTGGGTTTTCTGTAAGCCGTTTTGGTTTTTTTACCAATTACAAAATGTAGATGATAGGAGATGGTGGGAAGGCAGAAAGGGAGACTACAAACTAAACAGTATTCAGAAACTGAATTACAGAATCAGATTGTATTGTTTATCTTGTGTATGGCTCTGCATTGATCAATGCCCACTCACCTACCTTCAAAATACTTTTCACTGAAAACAGTTTTAGATGTTTAAAAAAAATTGTATAAATGCCCGTTAATATCATCCTAAAGACTTTCTCAAAGGAAGGAAAAGAGGAGTATGGTAACTCACCTCTGCACTCCATATGGCCTTTCCAGAATAGGCTCCTTAAATGGGGGTGGAATATGGCCAAAATAATCTGGATAGGCCACTTCTGAATAATCGGGAATAGATTTTGTTGTTTTCACCATTTCAATATAAAGATCACAGTCATGAATTGGTGATACATCAGAAACCTCAAGTATGACTTGTTCCCCTGATGAACTAGATCTGGAATCCTCCTCCTCTGAATCCACTCCAGTGCAGCAGAGTTTTCCCAGATGAACAGATGATCCTTCAAAGAGGCTACTTCCACAGGGTGAAACATGTTCATCAGGTTTACTACAAGAAAGTGTAGTATGGCTAGTTTTGCTTTCCATCTTTATTACACATCCTGAACCATAATACTGATCATTCTTTGCACTGTTCTGCAGACTGATTCTGTCTAAGCCTTTCACAATTTCTTGGCTTAGACAGTGGCATGATGGAAGCAGGTTTCTTTGATCATTTTGCTCATGTAAACTACTGTCTTTGATACTATCTTTCTTTGGTAGTTCCAGAAAGGCTGGCCTTTTATTGTATTCCTCTGTCATTAGAGGACTGATCTCCTTCAATGCAACTCCTTTTGTTGACTGGTTTGATTCAGCACAGTGCTCCTCTCCTGCTGTAGGAACAACAATAGGTCCACTCAGATTTGCATCAGGTACAAAAGGCTTTGGTTCCTTGGAAACTAAGTCACATTCCTTAAAAAATAAGAGGGGAAAAAGATTTATTAAAAGAAATAAGTAAACGGTTCCTGAACTTTCATTAATATTAGAAACCTTCCTCTTTCATTGTTCCTGAGGTATTTTGCAACAATCCAAAATAAACATGAAAGCCAAGTTGTTATGTTTTAAGCTTACATAAACATAGCAATGAAGTTTCAGCTTTTACAACATAGTGTCATAGCAATAAACAAGTAGTTCATCAGTAATAAATTATCAAGTCAATGCAATTCCCCAGATATTTTAGCCAACTAATTTAAAGAGATGCACAACATCTAAGGAAATACCTAACACAATGAAACTTTGTCAGAAATCTCATATCCTTTCTTATGATTTTACTTTCTGCTGTGTGCAAAAATCAAACATCAGAAAACAGTCTTCCTTCATATCTGCTGACAGTTCCCCTCTCAGTTAGATTGAAGTAGCCTGTAACATTTGAGTAACTCACTATATAGCACTTTCATGTGTAGCTCTAGAATTACTGACTCTCATTTTTTGGCTAGAGGAAATATCCACCTGAAAAAAAAAAAAAGTCAAAGTGTATTCAAGAATCAACCCATAATGATGAGGAATACCCTGAACATTAGATATTTTACCTGAAAGTTTTCTGACAGTTCTGGGAAAAATTGCTCATACATTTTCAGTTCTTCTATGGGTCTTCCCAATTCCTGTCTAGGTTTCAGTTTATTAATATCAGTCTCAATATCATCATTCTGAAAGAGCACCAGAACAAATTAATCTTGCATCCATAATTAATGAACTTTTAAAATAATTACATTCACCTTTTAATTCTTACATGGACATGCTTTAAAAGCTAAATATCACTATTTTAGAATTAGCTGAACTGCACCTTTCACCATGAAGGTTTAATTAGTAAAATTAGTAATCCAGCTCAGTTTTATTAGTATGTCGAAGCCTTCATTTCAACAGAAATATTACAAACATCTCAATTTTCTTGCTTTCATCCAAATGTGTTACGCACAGACATCAGACTACCCTTTACATAAGATCTGTGCATAGTTCAGCTATTGCAACCCAGGATGTGGAGACTTCATCTGACTGCAGTGACAAAGGAATAACTGCTTCTATGGAAGACAATCCCCTCATCTGGGTCATGAGGGCCTTGAATAAAATCTGTCATTCCAGCCCACAGACAGACAATTCAATTAACTCCTGAATATGTTACATAAAAATATACAATAAGGCTATTCTGACCAAATGTCCTTTCATGTCCTGACTGGCAGCTGGAAACTAGAGATACAACAGTGAGAGGTCTGATCTCTAACTCTACAGTTGGCTGAACCTCAAAGTCACCTGAAACACTGACCTAGTCAATCCCAGTCCAGAATGATGGAAAGAGTTAAGAGCAGCTCCTACATACTGAGCAGCTTAGATGGGACGAACAGGCTAAGAGAAATACAAGTTGGGAACAGAACACTGCTAAAAGTTTGCACTTCTGTTCTAGTGTACTCCAGACATCAAATTTGAAGTAAACAGGTTTTGATAAAAAATGTGAACAACAAAGGTTGATATTTTCAAGTAGCAACCACCTTAAGTTTCATCAGCTTCTTTAATTTTAAAAATAGTCCTGAAAAACTCTTCAAAGTCCTTTAACACTTAAAATATAGGATTCAAGCAACTTAAAAATTTATACCTGATTTTTGTCTGTTAATTTTGTCTCATACCAACCTTAAAATGTTGGTCCTTGTCATCATCATTCTCGGTTTCAATTTCTGATTCTGTTTCAGCATCCTCATTATCATCACTTTCATCTACTACATCATCCACTGCGAAACAAGAAAGTTTTGTAAAGCATTATACATTTAATGCAATACATTTAATCTATAACAGAGTTACAGTGTGGGTGGATAAGAGAAGAGCAACTGACATCATCTGCCTGGACTCGTGCTAAGCATCTGACACTGTCCCACACAACATCCTTGTCTCTGAATTGGAGACACATGGATTTGATGAATGGACCACTCCATGGATAAGGAATTGGCTGGATGCTCACACTCGAGAGTGAGTGGTCAATGGCTCCATGTCCAAGTGACGTTCCTCAGGGGTCAGTACTGGGACCAGTGCTGTTTAACATCTTTGTCAGCGACATGGACAGTGGGAAAAGTTTGCCAACAACACCAAGGTGTGTGGTGCACTTGACACACTGGAGGGAAAGGGCCATCCTGAGGGACCCTGACAGGCTTGAGAGGTGGGCCTGTGCAAACCTCATGAAGAGCAACAAGGCCAAGTGCCAAGTCCTGCACATGGGTTGAGGCAATCCCACACACAAATACAGGCCGGGCGGTGAGTGGGTTGAGAGCAGCCCTGCAGAGAAGGACTTGGGGTGTTACTGGATGGAAAACTGACTATGAGGAGCCAGCAATGTGTGCTTGCAGCCTAGAAAGCCAACTTACCCTGGGCTGCATCATGAGAAGTGTGGCCAGCAGGCTGAGGGAGGGGATTCTCCCCCTGTACTCTGCTCTCATGAGACCACACTTGGACTACTGCATTCAGCTCTGGGCCCCCAACATAAGAAGGACACAGACCTGCTCAAGCAGGTCCACAGGATGCCATGAAGATGATCAGGGGGCTGGAGCACCTCTCCTATGAGGACAGGCTGAGAGAGTTGGGGTTGTTCACCCAAGAGAAAAGAAGGCTTTGCGGAGGCCTTATATTGGCCTTCCAGTACTTAAAGGGGACTTACAGGAAAGATGGGGAGGGACTCTTTATCAGGGGGTGTAGTGGCAGGATGAGGGGTAATGGTTTTAAACTGCAAAAGGGGAGATTTAGATTAGATATGAGGAAGAAATTCTTTCCTGTGAGGGTGGTGAGTCACTGGCACACGTTGCCCAGAGAAGCTGTGGCTGCCCCCTCCCTGGCAGTGTTCAAGGCCAGGCTGGACGGGGCTTTGAGCAACCTGGGCTAGTGGAAGGTGTCCCTGCCTGTGGCAGGGGGGGTGGAAATAGATGGTCTTTAAGGTCCCTTCCAACCCAAACCAGTCCGAATCTCTGATACATATGCTCAAAAAAAATTTCTATGTTCTAGTTTCATTTTCTTTTTTACCTACCGCTTGAAAAAACTGTGAAAACCAACTAGCAAACATTAATTACTACCATCAGATTTACAAAACAAAATGCCTGCTTGACAACACTGTAGACTCAATTTATTACCTTTACATACAGTTTTAAGCCAAATCAAAGATCTCTGATTTAAACAAAGCAAAAGAGAACTAAAAAATACCCAACGCTGCTCCACCCCAAAAACCCCCAGCAACGCAGCGATGGCCATTAGAAATACTTTATAATGTGGATGTGCCAAGAATATCTCACCATGGCTTGAGGTCAGTACAAAATGAGATGGGTCTAACACCTTTTTCCAAACTAGGCAATAATAACCAAGTCCAAAAAATACTGAGGTCTTAGCAGCTTTTAGTCATGTCAGCTACTATTGATCCTGTATTGGGGAACAGTAGGACAAAGTACCCTCTTCACCTTTTTTTCTGTTGCTTAAATGGGGCATAACAACTAACAACTTTTTTTTTTTTTTTTTAAAAAAAAAAGTCAGAAACATATCATTGGAAATTCAACCAGTGAAGCAAAATACTCAAGGAGAGTGGTCACTGCAACTGCTTAGCATGGGCAGGTTGGGAACTAAATTTTACCACCAAAGCATACAGCGAGATGTTATTTTTTAGACATGTGGAACTACTGGAACACTAACTTAAGTTACAGACCCAGTACACTGAAGGATCTAGGACTTCCTCCTTTTTTAACCAAGAAAAACCAGGGGAAGCAAACTAATTGTTTACACATGACTAACAAGAATTGGGCTAACTCCCTAATATGTGGAAGAGAGCATTAACTGGTTATTTTTGGAGATGTTCTGCTTACTACTTGCAAATTTAACCTCATGAAGTTTGAGTGCTGGGGGTTTTTGTTATGCTTTCTGAAAGAGTGTTTTAAATGCAGAAAATTTACTGATTGTCAGTAAAAGGTTCACTCAGAGGTTTACAAATTATACTGATTTTCTCTTCTAGTCTATTCAGAATGATTACACATGTTGCTTTTACAATGCTGACTATAAAAGATTACACTTTAATAAACTCAGAGCTGTACCCTCCCCAACCTTCTACATCTTTTAACACAGAAGTTTTGACTTATGATACACAGGATTTTCTTCTTACTTCTTGTTTTTATAGATAACAAATCTATTACAAAAACCCTCAAACTATTGGTAGTCTACTTCAACAGAATAGGAATTTTCTAAATAGGTATTATGGAGTACCAAAATCACTGTATTAGCAGAGGTCTTATTTCTGTGGATTTTGGAACACACTTCTAAATCTACTTTCTACTTTGAAGACAAAAACAAACTCTAAACTCCTGCAATCTGAGTCTGATCAATATGAACCCAAATCAGATTGTAGTCTGAAAGAAGACAGCTATCACATGTTGTTTCAGGAGATATTGTGAATAAGAAGATATTAAAAAGTCTGAATTTGCCTCTTCATTTCAGAGTAACTTTCTGACACCAACCTCATCTGTTGCTTACTGAGGTATCAAGCTGTTTCACCATACCTGATAATGCATCAAACATTAATTATCAAAAAAAAAAAAAAAAAAAGGTTCAGCTAGGATAGGGTTAAGTTTCCCCAGCAGAGAGGGGGAAGGGATCTCCAGCCGGGTTTTTCATAGCAGGCTGATGTCAGGTCCAGCCTCAGCAGTGCAGCGCAGCGCCGGAAGCTTCCCTTTGTGGCTTTGGTCATGGGAAGCAAGTGTGGCAGGCTGGCTGTGTTCACTGCAGTATTTCTCTGTATATCTTTTGTCTTGTTTACTGTTATTACTGTTTATTGTTGTTATTATTGTTATTGTTGCTATTCAGATTGTTATTTATTACACTGTAGTATTAAATCTTTCCTTATTTTAACCCGGGGTTTGTGCCCTACTCGGTCCGAGGGTGGGGGAGGGACAACGGCAACATGGTCTCTGGTCCTGGCAGCGCCTAAACCACCACAGCTGTTCACAATACAATGAATCCATTTCCTACAAAGCACCATACAAATGCTTTGCAGACAAGTGTTGCCTAATTGACTGCAACATTCCAAGAAAACAGCTCTACTTTTTTTCATCATGTAAATGAAGGAATAAGCACAGTAATTTAAAAAATAATGCTTGAAATGGTAGATATTAATCTAAACTCAGTATATCCAGTTTATCAGAGCAACAGAAAGAAATCAAGAAATATATACGCCTGTAAAACAGGATGTACGCAAGATAACATTTCACATAAGTGAATGTATATAAGTGAGATAGAGCCCATTTAAATTTGTAGACTAATATGTACAACTTGTGCTTTACACTTCAGAGTTTGATAAACACCACATTTTAGTTCCTATATTTTATATATCAGAAACATAACCACGTATGTGTAGATAAAAGTTTCATCAGTTAAAACTTAACATTAGATATTGGTGCTCTACACTAACAGCCACAGATCCTTTGCTAGCCAAGAAGAGTCTTAGAGTCCAAGTTCTAGTGAAAACAAGTAACTGCAATTGATTCTACCTTACATAAAAAAAATGTTAGACATACTCAAAGAGATAAAATTACCATACCATCAGGAGGCAGATTGTACAGCTGAGCCACAGGACCACTGGCAGGAATAATTGGGAGTTGGAAATGGAAAGCACTTTTAATAGTTGGTAAAGGAAGACGATTTTTAGGAAAACATTTTCTCATTATTAGGCTGGATGTGTTGACAAGGGGATCAAGAGTTCTTACTGCAAGGCACTCCTATTAACAGGGAAATAATGAAGACAGAAAAGTATCTCTCAAACTAATAGTCAAACTACATCTGTTCTACAGGTTTTTAGAATATACTAACAGCAAATTATTTTGTTTACAATAAATTTTGCTAATGTCTCCTCTGAAGGCCAGAACAACTTCTACCAAGAAAACAAAACAATCACATTTTTTAAAACCTCAAACTTCAAAATTAAAATACTTCCCCCCCTCCTTTTTTAAAAATAAGTTTAACAGCCCCTCCCAGAGATAGTCACAGCCAAGTAATAGCAAATACAAATTTAATTCTGTACTCCTACATTCTGCTTTAGTCAAGTACAGAAAATAATCCTTACTCCCATAAGCAGAAATGACCATGCATATCATAAAAGAACTATGACAAATCTGAGGTCAGGATGTGTTTTTAAAGCCAAAGAGGCAAAAACAACAACAAAAAACCCAACTGAGGTAGACCTACTTGTGATGTGTTGTAAAGAATTTTCATCCCATTGGCATCAATGAATGCTTTTCTTCCCAATTTGATGTTTGTAACACTTTTAATGCACTGTAAAACTCCTTTACGTATCAGCATATATCTGTGTCGACTATCATGACGGTGCCAATCAACATAAATCGTTAAAAGCACCTGCACATATCCTCTGTCTACTGCTCTCCTTGCATTTGTTTCTTTATAGAAAAAGTTAAGAAAGAAAATTAAAAATTGCCCAATGACTTCAACAGTATTTTCAAATCAATGATAACATTATTCTTTTTACCCAAGTATCAGAATTGTTTCATTTAAAGTGGTATTTTAGCCACAGTTAACAGTTTTACATCAACCTAAACAGAAATGACTGAATAACTGAGGCCAGTAGTCTACACTTCATTCTTCAGAATAACAGCACATATAATTTTCATGGTTTATCAGAAGAACAATGTGCATTACCCTTAAAGATAATCGTAAGATACTGTCAGTTACCAAATTAAAAAAAAAACAAACAAACAAAAAAAAAACCAAAACCCCACTTACATAACACACACACAGAGTATAGATAGAAAATTTGAAAAAAACTTCTTAGTGCTGCAATTCATACAGTTTTGCAGCAACTATCACTCAAATTTGATAAATTCAAAATACCTCTATCCCAAATACTGGGTCATCAGTATGACAACTGGACTCCACACAGCAGAGATTAACGTTTTTATGAAAAGTTTTACTTATATAAAAGTGTAGGAAGTTATAATGTCAAAACCCCTCAGGACTGAATAAGACATATCAAAACAAATGCACAAGACCTTCTGTTTTAAAGACACACCTTTTCAACATTTAATTTCTTTCCCAACATTAAACTACCAATTTACTGAACAGAGTACTAACAATAATTTGGAAACATTTCTTTCCCTAAATTTGCTAAGAACAAATTCCAAAATTAGTAAATACACAAATCTGTAAGACCTAGGTATCACACTGATCAAACACAAGAAAACACAGCACCCTGTAATAACTGGTACATTAGTCTGAAATTGCATTCTGCAAATCTAATCATGCCTCAGTTCTTATCTGACTCCACTAAAAGTACTTAGAATGCTGTAGCTTTTGTACAGCTGTTCAGAGAGAAAGTTTTTAATTCCTTGTCAGTTACAACCCTGGTGCAGAGATGACATTTGTCAGGATCCACTGCTGCCAGCCAAGATAGCCAATGTCTGGGAACTGACCATCATTTCATTACCCTTGGATCCACTTCATGAGCATCACTGACAGATAAGACTCAAAATCTGATTGCTCAGAAAGGTACCTGAAGAAACCCTGCATTTTTCCCCTGCCATCCAATAGATTTTTTCAGATATATGTATAAAGATGATGTGCAGGAGTTAAGCTATAGATATCCATTACTGAAGGGCTGAGATGAGTGACTATAAAAGGCTATTTCTCCACTTTGGATCAAGATCAGTTCTGCAGAAGCAGTGCAGCCTTTCTGGTATGTAACTGAAGACATAGTAACTAATTATTAAACATATATGTACATACGACACAAATATTAAAGCACCACAGACTGCAGATAAAACTGTAGCCTTATTTCTAAATTTCCTAGCTTTGATTTGTTTTGGCCACAAACTTACTACTAGCTTTACTCTGTAGGTGTGTGTATATATATATATATATACACACACATATACACACACACACATATCTCTCTCTCTCTCCACTAGACAAACAGTTTCTTGTAGTCAAACACTTACTTGATTTTAGCAATGCAGCAAGTGTGTCTAAAGCAACCCTGTCAACATAACAAGAAAAGTCAAAACAACAAGCAACAAGTAAGCTTAATCTACAACACTGTAAAGCTACGCAAAATATTTACTGCTAACAGATTTATTTAGCATCTATCCTCATATTTTCCTGGTTGTGCTGTATCACAGACTTTGCTTTTAAAATTTGGTTTTACTAAAATATCATGCATCTCTACTACACCTGACGTATCTTCACTATATCTGAAATTTGACAGTGAAATTTTAAAATATCAATACAGACTTTCCACCTTTGCAAAAAAACACTATAAATGACAACATAATATTTATGAACCATACTAAATGGATGAGATACTTCTGAAACTCGTATTTTTATGTTAGCAGCAGAACAAGTACTTCCACAAAACAAATGACACTATTTTAGAAAACTAGGTAGTGTGTGAAAAACTGGCAATGTGTGTATATGTTGAGGAGTAATGCTCATCAGTCTGTACTACAAGATCTAAGATTTTTCTTGTACACAAAGATCTTGTCTCTGTTAACTCAAGATATACAGCTAGAGAACATACATTCTTATTTTCACCCTCTTTGTAAAGATAGACTTCATGTATCTGATCTTAGACCATAAACAAGGATATCATGATTACTCACACCACAGAATAGTAAATTCATGTCTAATTTTAGTTGAGGCTTAAAGGGGAAGGGTATTTTTAAAAAAGATACTACAGTAACCACAAATACCAGATTTAGATAAAAAAAAAAAAAAAAAAAAAGAGGTTAGAATATGAACAACATGAGATTATTGCTTTGCTAACCAGATGAAAATTTCAGTTCTCCACAGGTATGTACTTCAAAAAGGTGGTACTGTATAAAAAGAGAGCTATCTCCAGTTAGACACATTTATCTATTTTTACCCTAAAGTCACTTTAAAAAAAAAAGGAAAAAAAACACATAGGGGACCAAAAAAAATAGTTTAGCTCACCACTTTAAGGTATGCGGTGAATTAACTTTTTTTTTTTTTTTTTTTAATAAACCACAGTAGCCCACTAGACATATATTACTGGTGCTTCCTACTCTTTTTTTTTTTTTTATGGTTTTGCACTGAGAGTCTATAATTGCTTTGAAGAAAAACAGAAGGAAATTTCTATTACAAAATTAAACAGGTAGGCTCACTCTAAAAACACAAAGGAGATGTGGGAGCTAATTCAATAAATTGAAGAATGATAGGATTATCTTTATCTGTTTGTCCTGATTTGGGGATAAGCACTGTAGTTTCCATGCAGGAATCTGAGAGACAGAAAACTACATTTATATTCTTTTATCAGTACTGTAACTAGACATTAAAATATTTTGTGTTACTCTACTGGGTAATATCAAACTGTCAGATTTGTGGTTCTTCTTCCCACCTCCTTTCACTTTAGCTTTCAAATATGAGTTATATTTGATTTTTCTAATATTATTTTTCATTTACAAGTAAGATTTGAAATGTATCTAAGTTTTTTCTATATACTATACTAAAGAGACATTACTTACTTTATAAGGCTAGTGTTCTTTTTACTAAAAGGGCCAATGATCTTAAACATCAGTTCTACTACTCCATTCTTTCCCAAGGACACTGCATTTACAGCTGTAAGAGTTAAGAAAAATCCACTTTAAGATAATGTAATAAGAAAGGAAAAAGAAAAAAAATCAACATACTCAAACTAAAATCAATGTGAGTTAATTTTGAAGTAAAAAATTTTAGACATGTTTGTGCTTTAAGACATACAATGACAAACAAACACTACTCTGCATATAATTAGTGTGATAACCAATCCTGATAAAACTTGGAAAAGAAGAAAAAAATTAATTATTACTTCACAAATAAAATCATGTACTACTTCCAGTATATGCTTCTGCTTTCTTTGTTATTAAGATACATCATAAAAAGAATTTTCTTCCAGAAAACCTCACTGTTTATCAAGACAGCAGGGTTTCTAAAACTTCAAGTCTAACTATGTTCTATGACCTGCTGTTATCCTTCACTATCGGGACAGACACCAAAATTTGAAAGGCAAGAGTATGCTCTGAAATTTATAAATGTTAACTGGTATAAGCTTTCCTGAGCTACATGTTATGCATATATGTTCTCAGGAAAAAAAAAAAAAATCTATTTGAAAGGGAGCAAATCAAAACAAATTATGCTAAGACCTATGTTCAAGAAATGCACACTGGATGTATCTATGACAGAAGCCCAGCACCCACTGAAAATATAAACTGCTGAAACAGGCACAGAAATTCAATTCCTGACTGAGTTTAATAACATGCCCTCCTAACAAAGTAGGAATAGAGCAACTAACAACTGACTTCAACATAATGAATGCTGTTATTAATGTAGAATTTAGTACCTGAACCCGAGTTGCAATTTCATTGTCATCAGCAGCAACATTACACCACTAGAACCTAAGAAAAGTTAGGACTCTATTCTGGTAACAACCGTAGACAAACCTTAAATAGTACTACCCATCGGAATGTAATAAACTACTGTTTATAAAGAGTGGGAAATACAGAAGGATAGAATTGATCTAAGCAGAACCCAAATTAGAGACTCAGTTCAATTTCCCATTTTCAGGATAACGCAACTTTTCAGCTGTGTAACTATCTGTACGGAACTCTTCCATTTAGAAGCATTCTACCTCATTATCAGACAGGTCCACAGAAATAAGACTTTCACATTTTAAAAGAACTGGGACTTTATGAACTATAGGTGGTCATGAGATTCTCCTGAAAACAAACTTGCAGATCGTCAAATGAATTCTCTTGGAGGAATGTGGTTATGTTTTCAATTTCTCATACTTTAGGTTTAACAGTCATTTTGAGCTCAAAAGAAGCATCTAAGTGACAGCAGAGATACAGCAAGAACCACACTACATTCCCCAACTTCCTACTGCCTGCCCAAACAATTCATTAGACTCTTGTGGAAGAATACTGCTCCAATAGTAGGTCAATTCAACACAAGGAATAAGGGAAAGGTTAAATAAATAAATAAATAAATAAATAAAATATTTCCTGTGTGAACCAAGCTTTAAATTAGTAATCAATAATGAAGTAAAATAGTAAAAAGCAAAAAAAAACATAAGCAGGTATAATAAAGAGCATGATTATTTAATTCGAAGTTCTTTTGCAAGCACAAAATATTAATATTTCCAGAAATCTTAAAGCATCAGCATTTATGAACATTAGATTACTCAAAATTCCACACATCCAATAGTACTAGTTAAACTATATATACACACACAGAGACAACAAAAAAATCAGATACACAAGAAGTACAAGCATGCTTCACAACTTTTATTTAGAATTTATGCTTTTTGTATCATCAAATTGCTAATTCACAGATAAAAATAATTATTTTAAACATCTAACATTAAACAAGCATGTAGATTCAGTATTTTAACTGTATCTCCATTAAAAAAGTTGTATCAAACAGGGAAGAAAATAATCATCTGTAATACTTACAGTTTGTTGAGTAAACTCTTAATACTTGAAGACATGGCAATATTAGCCTGTGGTTTTGCAAATTCTGCTTCACTAAATTCAATGATATGTTTAGGGCACCATTAATCCTTGCCTTCATGCCGATCTTTTTGTCTAACATCAAAGAAAAACAAGATCAATCACACTAATTTTGAAATTATTATCAAAACATAAATGTTAAATGAACATTTATGTGAATTCCTTTTAATGTCAAATCTGCATAACTATTTTTCATCATTCTTTCCCCCCCATCTATTTTACTCCTCCCTTTGTTCTCCTTTACCAATTCTAAGTACACGGATGCTTATACAATAATAGAAAGAAAATTTTTCTTAATTTACAATAATAAACTATAAAGTATTAAGCCATAATACTTAAGTATATAATTATCACCTTTTGGACCAATTTTTGCTAGAAGAGTATGAAGAAGCACCATTAATTCTTCATTTAGTGGAGAGTCTTTGCTGGCAGTCAAAAGCAGCTGCAATAAGATCTGTGTCCCTCCTTTAGTGACTAAGACGTTTGCTCTCCGACCACCACCTGGAAATTAAACTCCAACTGATCTCTCCAAAGCCAAAGAACAATTAAGTATCTAAGGTAAAGTTATCATAAAGTTTTTAGAAAGCAATATTTTCTTCATCTGTGACTGCACGATGCAATAACATGTCACACTTAAGACTTACAGCAACATAAATTATTTGTGTATGATTATTCGAAAGGTGACTTTAGTTTTTACGGTTTTAGTCTGCACTTAAATCAGTGTTAGCTAATCAGAAGCAACAACAAAAAACATTAAACAAACACCCCCTGCCCTCCAAAAACCCGAGTCTGCAGAAGAATACAAGAATATAATCACAAATTGCTCCTTACTGAAAACTTACCAACTGAGACAACCTCAATGAGAATATTCAATATATTTAGAATAGTTTGAGGATCTTTTGTATTCTGCAATTTAAAACAGAGATATTTCTTTGCTTAATGTAGAAGTCTAATACAGTGGTTTAGACACTTAAAGCTCAGAGAAATGGACATCACCAAATCGAACAAAACTTAAGATGTAACCACCCACCTAACCATCTCAACTCTGCAGCCTGAATTAGTCACAAAACCAATTAAAATCTAGTTTGTAGTATGGCATATTAATTAGAACTAACAGTTGACAAATAATTTCTTAGAGTATTTAAAAATAAGGGAGAGAAACCCTTAAGTAGACCACACCTAATCATTACAGTCCTACACAAGTTTTGAAGTCTAGTTAGGATAACAACATAATTAACAATAGGAAGCCCAGTGATAAAAACCTGCTATGTACCCATAACCACACAGATTAAAAGGTTTTACCTCTAGGGTTGACAAAATAACTTCTATTCCAGTGGAGCCCTTAGAAGTCATCTCCTTCTTGGTTTTTTCTGCCAGTGAGAAAAAGACAATTTTTCTTTTAATATACTAGCTTGCAAGGAAAAAAAATGTGATCACATACAGATTGATCAGAAAACCTACACTGCTAATAATAAAACCTATTAAAAACTGCATATATGTATATAAAACTAAAATAAGCAAAAAACTTAAGTGATTTTAAAACTAATTTTTGCTTTCACTTGTTCAACAATCTTGTCATGCCCTAGAAAAAAACTACTATCTTTCAGATACTTCTACTTCTCATATATACACACACCTATACTGTGAATTATTACTTAAATTATAGCTGTTTGACAATACAAAATGCACTCAGTGTGACCAATACTATACCAGATAGCATTAAACATGGTCTTAAACAGGTGTTCTCAACAGTGACAAAAACAGGTGGATAATCAAGTTCACCAAACAGAAACAAAAATTGAAGTCCAGCAAGGAAGAAATACTAGAAGGAAAGCTCAAAAGGAAAACTACTAAAACCACAAGACTTAGATATTTACCTTGACTCTGAACCAGATGAAGGATCTTTGAAGTAACATATCTGGCATTGTCTGCTTCTCCTAGTACAGAATCCAAATTGATCTTCTCCAGCTGTGATAGCAGAGACATAGTCCGAGAACTGGTAGAAACACTACAAGAAAGATGTATTATATTCATTTTTCCATCTACATCAGAAAAAAAACAAACAAACCCACCAAAACCAGAAATCCCATGTCAGAGTAAAGGAAGCTGCTAATTCACCTTCATATTTTATCTCGATTGGAACACAGGCTTAATTCTCCTTACTTCTGGCAAATTGACAGATTTTGAAAAGCCTGCATTGCAGCAGACTAATTATATATAACAGTATCTCCAAGAGCAACTGTGAACAGGGGAATTCATTGCAGCAAATAAAATGCAGATATAGGTACATATGCTGCTTATCTATGTCAATTAGAATAACTAATTAGAATATATTTAATATAGTTTATCTTAAGATACTCTATCAAACCTGCCACTCAAGGAAAAACTGTCTACAAACATTCCCAAAGACTATTTGTCTTACAGGCCAGTGTTTATGAAGTGAAAGAAAGTATTCTAATGCATGAAATGAGCAAATCAGCACCCACCAGCTAAAGAAAAAGAACACCATTCTGAAGAAAATAAACTTTGAAAGGTATCCAAAGCTATCATCAGTTTGGAATAATTTGGGGTATTTTGGCCTGACATCATAAAATTGCCTTGAAAATGTATTTTAGTATAAGAAACAATTTCAAACCAGGCAGTAGGTAGATAGGTAGAATACAAAGAAAAAATGAATGTAAATGTTTATAGTACTCAACACAGTTGGTCTAGAAATTGTTTTATTTGCTCTCTAGTTTTTGAACATAACAATCAGAATAGTGCTGAGATTCACATCAAATGAAAGTAATTTTTAGACAAATGAAAGTAATTTTGAAACAAATGCTTAACATTTGAATTACAGTTACGTAACTACAGGAAATCATGATTTCCAAGGATTAAATACCTTCACTTCCGACTTCTATAATATTAGCATCCTGCAATAATCAACAATAACTCATTTTACACACATACTGTTCTGACTATCTGCAATAAAACTAAAGTATATAACACTAGCTTTATAAATACTGTCAGTTTTGTTTGTAACAATGAGGATTTATTACACCTTGATTTGTATTTCACATCAGTGAAAAGTTTTCATACTTAGTTCAACAAGAATAATTAGTTTAGATTTGGACAAATATTTTAAAATCAAGGCAAAAAAGGTAGCTGATGACAAAGGTTGTACTGCCATGAAAGCAAATTGATTTAACAGCTGTTGAGGAAAATGCTTCCACCACTTTCACTTTTCCACAGACATTTAAATGAGAAGCATAACCAAAAACCAATTTCAGATTACAGATGATACTTACAAGTTGTTACCATCAGTAATAAGAAACAGTTACATTAATTATAATCAAATCAAAATAATTAATTATAATCAAATCAAAATTATTTTATATTGCAAAGTAAGTATATCAGCTTCTCAGTTATTTGCTAGATTTTGATTTAAAAGTCTAGCAAATTGGTTGATTTTTTGATCTAAAATAAATTTGTCTTGGTTGCTAAAATATTACTTCCCTTGTATAAGTAAAGCATAATCTCTCCAATCCGTTCTCATCATCCAGAACCAGACTGAATGGTATAAAGCCATTATTATTTGCATAAGCTTTGTTTTGTTTATTTCTACTCCTCCATTTATCCACTGAACTTGAAATACTCCAAAACAAAGCCAAGATTTTAATGAAATCCACAAGGTCTGTTCATCTGGTATAGAAACTGACAGACTTCAAAGGATGTTATCTTCACCAGCTCCACAATCAAGACAAGTAAGAGTCTAGTCAACCCACATATAAGACTGTGTAAGAGAACTGCCACTTCAATTTGTGTGTGTGTGTGTGTGTGTATATATATATATATATATATATATATATATATATAATTTCCATTGTGGTATATCATTGGTCTCACAATGAAATAAGTGTAGTTTGAAAGCTGGAAACAACCCAAGAAAGCAAAGATGATCCTTAGGAACAAACATAAAAATAAAATAGAAGTTTTTGTAAAGACAAACTCACTTACGGGCACAAAAATTTCAGAGCAAACCTGCAGCAGCCTGCAAAATTAAAGCAACCCTGGCACATGGAGGTAATATACCACATACAGAAAGCTAACATCTAACGTAATTTCTCTGTAGTTACTAAAAGCTTTAAAAGGTTTAGGAAGGATAAGTCATTCTCACTGCTGGGTGGTATAACAATTTATGTCCTGAGACTTAGAGGTATAATCTCCTCCTGGGGCCAGAGTTCCTATGAAAAGCAACGAGTGCTCACTGCAGTGGTTAAAGACATATCTTTAGAATGGTTTTAGGCTATTCATCTTGCAAGAAGTCTTCCAACAGAAATATAGCCAAATAAACTTCAGATCTTCACCATACCCCATATATTCTTGATGTTCTTGAAAATAACATCAGCTCAGAGTCTATGCTGAAATAGGAAGTCCTGATTTCCGCTTAGCATGTGAGTTTTCCTTCTAAATCAAGAATTGTACACTTATTTATTAATATTCTACACTAACATACAGAGCTAAGTGACAGCTTCCAATGTCAGCATGGTAAATCAAAAAGGCTGTAGGACAGGAAAACACAGCAGCCAGACTGACTGGCTCTGCTCCTGTACAAAATAGCACTGTGACTATCCATTTGAACTAAGAACAAAACGGAAACCCAATCTGCAATGGGACTCTTTCTGATATTTGAAATGTACATATGTTTTGACCAACAACCTATTCAGGATCCAAACCTGCAAGAGAGTTCTCCAAAACAGAGGCAACATGGAATTCGGTATTTTTAATTCAACAGCTAGATAAACCAAGGCAATAGTCAGAACGGCACGATAAAAACTGTGTCTTGTCAGAGCTAGATTTCCTCTTAAGCTGCTGACATTGCAGAACCTCACATGGGGCCCTGAACACTGTGGCCAGCCTTTCATACAATACTTGTTTTCCCACAAGATAGACATTTTTCACCCTACCCATTCTAAAGCTGCATCACAAGAGCACTACAGTCACTAAAGGAAACACAAGTGTCTGCTATCTTTAGTTATAAAAATCATGACTGTGAAGCACAGGAAGAAACCTTGTAAGACCATAAAACTACTATCTTCAGAACTGGATGAACACCCCAGTTGCTTTTCATGACAGACGTATGTTCAACCCATCCTTAAGGTCCTGCAAAATGGTGGTTCAACAACCCAAGGCAACTTCATTCTAATACTTTGTATTCCTTCACTTGAAAGTTTTTCTCCCTGCAATTTAATCCTATTATTTCTGGCTCACCTCACTGCAAACGTGACTGTTTGTCCTGGTTCAGCCAGGATAAAGTTTTCCCCAGCAGAGAGAGAGGTGGAAGGTATCTCCAGCCGGGTTATTCATACCATGCTGACGTCAGGTCCAGGGGCGGAACCTTTTTACTTTCGCTTCTGGTGTTGGTTTAGCGGTATTTCTCTGTATATCTTTTTGTCTTGTTCACTGTTATTGCTGTTTATCGTTGTTACCATTGCTACTGTTGTTGTTCAGATTGTTCCATCACTCTGTTGTATTAAATTTCTTGTTATTTCAGCCGGGGTCTGTGTTTAACTTCCAGCCCGACCGGCGCGGGTGGGGGAGGGGCAACGGCAACGTGCTCTCTCATCCCGGCAAGGATTAAACCTTGCACACTGTTCTTTGTCCATTGTAACTGAATACCTCTCTAAACATTGTACCTTGCATATGTTTCCATCAAATATTCTTAACCATTTTCTGTATTTCACAAGAGTATTTTGAAATCATTTAGTCTAATATTTTTGCAGATCTTTCCAACTTCAAGTTAAAATTGCAGACAACAAGAACTCTTTCTTCTCCTTCAGATAATTAGTAGAAGCTCAAAATATTTTCAGTTATTAACTGTACACAGAAAGAGCACATCCAGAAACAAACTCTGCACTGTTTCCTTCTGACAGCAATCAACTATCATAGCTCTGGTATCCAGGCAGTGCTCTACTCCAGCACACTTGGATAGAACACTTGCCTTAGCTTCCTGATTGCAATCTTATGGAATGGTTATTTTGGTATGTGGCATTTTAAAGCTTTAAACATGTAGTGGTATTTTAATGCCACTTTCCTGCTCACAGGATCTGTTACTCTCTCACACATGAAAAATGAGATATATTTTCAAGAACAACTCAAACCACCCGTGGCTGTTTGCAGCCTCACCCATTTTGTAAGTTCTTCCAGGATCCTTCTGTGCAAGGAAGAGAAGACAGCTGCTCTACAAGTACTTGTTTCTGCTCCCTGACTCCCACAGATATAACCTCTAGGTTTGCCCTCTCTGTCTTTCACTACTTAACCCAAATCTCTTAAGTTCTGATGAGAACTGATAGTTATTATTTCAGAATGGATTTAGACTTTTTTTAAGCATCCTGAGGTGAAGTTCAACCAGGCTCATTTGATCATATACACTGTATGTCTCCCTAGGGCAGGAAACCCTTTCTCCATCTGACATTCAAATACTGCAGCTCAAAATGCCCCTCACACCACCATCTTACTTGCAGAAAGGAAACATAAACAAGCTTGACATCATCTCAGCTGTTGCCAAAGTGTACAGTGTGACTACAGCTAACCAGACGGTTTTGTGGATTTCCTCATTCTCTGGTTAGGAAAGTTATGAGTAGATAGAAGCAACTGCCCAGACAGTGAGGAACAGAGGACAATAGTTCATGTTTAAAAGAGAATTCCCTCAACAAGAAAACATCTTCTCAAAGAAAGGTCCTCCACTGCAGAGACATTTCTTCTAGTCCCACTAACTCCCAAAAAGTTTAAGCATTCTTACTCCAATAATGATGAAGTGCTAGATTCACAACTCTCCATTACTAACCATACACCACTACTGCTATGTAAATACTAAAACACTCCTGTCTGCTCACAATGAGAACAATAACTCTAATGGCTGTCATGGCAGCTTATAAAAACTGAGTTATCTTAGAATGGTTTTCAGCTATTCATCTTGCAAGAGGCCTTCTGTCCTGGTTCAACTAGGATAGGGTCAAGTTTTCCCCAGCAAAGAGAGAGCGGGAAGGGATCTCCAGCCAGGTTATTCATACCATGCTGACGTCAGGTCCAGGGGTGAAGCCCTTTTACTTCTGCTTTTGGGCTTGGGGGTTGCGACACACACGGCGGGCTTGTTCCCTGACCATTTAGCGGTATTTCTCTGTATATCTTTTGTCTTGTTCACTGTTATTGCTGTTTATTGTTGTTATCATTGCCACTGCTGCTATTCAGATTGTTTATTACACTGTTGTATTAAATTTCTCCTCATTTTAGCCCGGGGTCTGTGTTTAACTTCCAGCCCGACCGGCTGCGGGTGGGGGAAGGGCAACAGCAAGGTGCTCTCTGGTCCCAGCAGGTCTTAAACCTTCACACCTTCCAACAGATAATAGTCAAATGAAGGAAGTAATCAGAAATCTTCAGTTTCCCAACTGTAGCTACTTCCTCTGAAACTGCTGTTTACAGTCAGCCAGCACACTGATATCAGGGAGTGTCTTCTTCCGCCACAGCAAACAGGTCATCTGTGTTCCAGCGTGTGACAGTGAGCCTTCAAAAAAATATTTTAAAGTAGGCAGGATTCTCATGAGTTTGTTTTCATTTTATTCTAAAGAAAACCTTTTTCCAATTTTTTTTTCTCTCAAACACCTCCACAGTTACCAAGTAATCTTTAAAGAGCTGATACTTCTGATTAGTTCACAGCTATCTCTGTACAGTAAATTCATGATAATTTATTCATTTAGGGAACAATGGTTTGGATTGAAGGGATGGAAACTTTCATTTTGACTGATAACTAAAGAATTTATGACATGTAAGTGACCACTCTGCAGAAATCTAATATACTTTGTGATAGTATACTTCATGCATTATAATTAGTATTATTTCCAAGAATACCCACTGCTGATGGAGAGTATAATGCCTAAAGAACTAATATACTAAAAGCAGAAACATAATAGTTTCTTTACTATTTTTTTTGATACATCTCTTACACAAACAGGAACAGCCAGTCTCTGACATCTAGCCATTCCAATGTTAAAGTCATCAAAAGCAAAGATGATTCTACATGCAAGCATTTAAATTAAAATTTTAAATCCATCCCAAGATATAAAACTAACCCACAGTGCAGCATGTCCTTCATGCAAATTCATTCACTCATTTAAAAAAATAACTGATTTTTCAGGGAACTAAAACCGAAACCAAAATTCCCTATTTTCCTGCCTTTAGGCTTATTTTTTTCACCTGATTAGATGGTTTGATTTAATAAGGTAGTTTAACCTGTGTTAGCTTAAGGAAAGAGTAAGACTGAAAGCCTTTCCTGATGCTTAACAGACATGCTTCCTTCCACAGCTCATCTCACAATTTTTTCAAATATTTGCTAAAACAAGTTATTATGACAATAACAAACACAGTGTTTCAACTCTTGAAATACTCTGTAATCTCATTCTCATTTGTCCTGTCCTTAGATGGCAGGACTGCTGGAGAATGATATACATTCCAGGCCAAAACCATGGCTTCTTATACAGTATTATAAATTTGTCCTTTAATTCCTTCACTAGCAAACATTTTATGTTTTGCCCATATTTGCCTGAAATGATTAAATTTATAATTGTTTCAATTAAATTTAATGTATATTTTATATTTAAACATGTCTAACTGAAAATTTTAAATTAAAAGTTCTTTATTAAATGTGAAACTACTTCAAGCTAATCAATATTGTCTCCCTCAGTGTTTCAGGACATCAATTTACACATTCTTACTAAGGACCCATAATGTATATTTTATTTACCTTGTTATTAAGATAAAGACAGCTCTTCCACCAATCTCAAATAGCATGAAAAGTCAACTATAGTTTTAAGTTTACCTTTTTTCAGATGATGTTTTTACTTTGTTCATATCGGAAACCTGATTCTTCAAATCACCATCTCCAATAACCTGGAAGATATTAAACAACTACAGATTATCAACACTTTTTCTTTAATGATTAAATGATTCGGCCATATTAGATGTGTCTACATCAGGAATGTTAAGTAAGTCAATTAGCATTGATTGCATTTCCCCACACTGTCACAAGCTCTTCTCTCTTCAAACTATTTGATCCACCTTTTAAAATAAACTGTTGCAATATAAGTATGGAGTGTGATTCTGCATTATAATTCAGTCTAACCAAGCTCAAAGAGTTTGATCCCAATAAAACAGAAATTTAAATCATTTACTTAATAAACTATATTTTCACATCCATGACAGAATTTTATTAAACAAAGCTTTTGCTGAAACCAGTAAATGCACTTCTTTAAACTTACTTGACAATGTTGTGAAATGCCACAACATACTTATTTCTGACTCTCATTTCAAGTATCTACAGGATAACTAGGGCTAGAGGCACAGTGAGAAACATGGAGTGTTTGGTGTTCTTATTTAAGCAAGACCTGAATACATTTCTTGGACAGAAACCATATAGTGCCAAGGACTCAATTTTCCTATCCTTTTAAGGACATCGTGTCCTCAGGGTACACTGCTTCCTCAAACAGTGCCTCCAAGCAATTAAGGTTGCAGTCTATAGGACCATTAACTGAACCTCAGTACTTCCATTTGAGATCTAGTATGAATGACAAATACTCCCACTGTGAAAAAAACACAGAGTCCTCAAGGGGAAAATGGTTAGTTTTAAGGTAGAAGACAGAGTAAAGGGGAAAAGGATGTGCAAAGACTTGGGTGGTGAGAATGAAGAAAATAAAGCACTTGTTCTCTTGGGAAATGCAGGAAAGAAATTCAGTCAAACACACATATGCAGCCCCTCCCCCAAAGATAAATCTGTAAACTTCTCAAAAATCCTTGCTGTTTAGCACACAAAATACTCAGATTTTTAGTACTGGTAAATTTCACTCTGCAATTGTTAAAAGCCTAAAGCAAATGAAGGATGAAGCAAGCTCATCTCCAGACTTACCTGAAAGCAGAATCTTTTCCCAGAAGCCAGGAAGCAAATGCTCAGCTTTTCATAAGAATTCCAGCTTGACTCAAGTTAACAGGTGTACTCAATTTGTCCAAGCACCCTTCAAGTGTAAACTATCTTGACTTCCTTTAAAGAAAATGGATAGTTACAAGAGAATAGCTGTGTCCACCACAATGCAGACAATTTCACAAATTATGAAGTCTGGATTATTCAAATAAGGTTGTAGGTTTTACTGAGGGGAAAACATTAGATTCTTGAATTCAAGTAGCCAAGTGCTGTTTTGCTTTCAGCGTTGACCCGCTGTCAGACAGATGATGAACAGTCTGCCAGTGCCAACAGCGTCCACACATTATAGTGTACTGAACTGCTGTACCAGTGGATCCAGCTACAGAGCTGAACTATCTTGAACTGCAAGGTCTTAATTTGTTTGCTCTAAATTCACCACGAATTATTTCAGTTAAGTTCTAATGTGCAAATGTCAAGGGGAAAAGACAAAGATAAGAAAAAGCACAAAAACCTTTTTAAAAAAAAACAGTGAGAATGAGCAGGGAGAAAAATAAAAGGGATATAAAGTGATATCATCAATCCAGAGAGTTGTGGTGGAAAATTTATGCATACTAAAGTAACAAATCTCTCTTCAAATTTTACTGGGTGATTCAAAAAAGCCATTTCCAAAACATTTAAAAACCTTTTATTATTATGATCATTTTGATTAAAGGATCGATAGAAACGTCAATGCAGAAGATGCATGAGTCAATTTAAACACACTTCTAACACACATTTGATGCCACCTGCCTACCAGTGGTAGCAGAGCAGTGGGTAAATTAGCATCAGCATTCCTGCATTTAAAAGACCAAAACCAACAATTTTAAAAAATAATCCTCGAGTTGGAGGGGAACAGGGAGTGTTGACTAGTTAAACTTCAAATTGATATATGCTAGATCCTGTGCAATCTGCCTTTTTCCACTGTCTGTGGAACATTATTCCCACCATCCTCTCACTTGCACAGGGGAAACAAGCAGGAATAGGAAATTTCTCCAGACAGGTAAAGTTCCAAATCAGAAGGCTGCACTCACTGCAATAATGCTATCAATACTAAGAAAAATTAAATGGACTGTGAGAAGTTATATATAATTTTTCACCTTTTCCTTTCTCCCAAGAAAAACAAAGACATGTCTTATATGACATGTATTTGCCTCCCTCCTAGGTGAAGTCTTTGTCACTGAGCCAGACTCACCTCTGATGATCCATCTTTTTAGCCCTATGAAACTTTGGCACTTACTGGCAACAGTCGTGCAAAAGGGAAGAGTATATCCCCCCCTCCCCCCAGTATTTACTCCTCATGTAAGTTTTGGAATGTGCTGAAATGTAACAGAGTAACATGGAACCCTGACTCCTACTTCTTGGATAAGTGCTCTAACCACAAAGGTATGACACAAAATGGCAAGCACTATCACCTATTTTCTTTTGCTCAAAACAATTACTAAAGAAATGAACTGGCACTATTTCGTTCAGACCTCACATTCAGGCATGTCTATTAGGCATTACCAGAAGCGCCTGTTAGACTACAGAGGACTGTAAGGGCACCATCTGCCTGAATACTTAGTTATATGCATTAGAAGAACAGCAAAATACTCAGCTTCTCCAAGCCAGCAGTAATTCTGGTCAGATCTTTTAACAGGATTCAGAGGAAATTTTTCTGACACAAGTTAGTTAGCAACCTGCAAAGGGGGGGTGGGGGGGGTGGTGAAAGATGAATTAGTAATTTTGGTACTATGCTCTTAATACCATTCTGCTAGCACAGGTGACTGGACCTCAGGGCTTCTGCAAGGAAACATAAAGGGATTATGACTAGAATCCTGATGTTGCTATCCTCTTTTATAAACAGCCTCAGCCCCATTTCTTCTCATGTGGATGAAGAAACTTCTAGATTTGGGCTTTTCTTTGCTGACTGCCAGGTTTGGGGTTTCCTCCCTCCCTGCAACCCCTGAAGATCATGCATCAAGTACTCATGATATTTCTTGTGCAAACACCCAACTAGGTACAACAAAACCCTCTCTTTTTCCTTGATCTCACCTATCTGTAGCTGATGCACAGTCAAAACCAGCTCCTGTCTCTTCCAGAAAACAATGTCTCATTCCCATTTTAAACATTCGTGATCCTAAATCCATTGCTTTGGGGAAGAGAAACCTTAAATGCCATCTATTTAAAAAAAATAAACAAATAAATAAAAATCCCCTTCACTAAAATCAGGCCAGTGCCTGTCCCACTTCCCTTGTTTACGTCTTCTCTCTTAGAGGAATACTTTTTCATGTCCACACAAATATCAGGAACTTTCTACTACAGTAGAAAGCCACCTAATGATCAAATTTACTCTCCATCAACTACCTTATAATGGAAAGATGGAATTAAAAAAAAAGTAAACATTACTAATCAAATACTTTACATGCACTGTCACATAGCTCTTTTTTCATCTTCTTTAAGATTCTGGTACTTAAACTGGTGCATGTATTTCAGGGAGAAGTGAGTATGCCCCTTATTTATTGCAAGCCAGGTGGAATTTCTACATGATCTGAACAGCCATCTTTACATAAAACTGAAGAAATCAAATTAAACTCAGTACAGCAATGCATGGCTCAACTGCACCAGAACCTGCAGTTAAGTGTATTCACTCTAAATTGTTTTCCCTTTTGTCTTCCATTAATCACTAATGGACAGTAAAGAAAGCAGACAGAAAACCAAACTCCACTCTTTACTCTTAACCTAGAATCACAGTATGAAAAACTGCATAGTCACCCCTACAATATGTCAGTGCTGAGCACTTTCATTGTCATTTTGATAACACCACAACTGAAAGAAATTCTCATATGTTAAACACATAGCAAGCTCACATCTGAAGCTCAAAACTTCTATTTAAACCAACAGCAGCTCTACTTTCATGGTTGCTTTTTTTTTTTTCCCACTGAAAATCTAGGGCTTTTGCATATACATTTAAAATATATATCTATATTTGGGAATTATACAAGACTGTCTTGCGATCAAGCCCATTGTCTTGCAATAGAAAATCTCCCCAAAAAGTATGTTTTCAAACAACTGCCACAGAAGGCAAATCTACAAGTATCTGGCAAGCTAATAGTAAGCAAAGGGCAGTACTAGTCGGACAAAGCAAGATGACTCTTCCACAAAATCAAATATTTACAGAGCATGCCAGATAAAATCTATTTCTCAAGATCATGGAGGCTGAAAAAAAACCGAGTTGTTATGCTAAAATCCTGCTATTAGAACTCTCTGTCAAGGAAAACAAAGATAATCTATCTGCTACTGAATCTGGAAGATGATCTGAGTTTACATAAACAGAAATCACATGCTTAAACTGACCAAAATATTTTAACATGGAATGTGCCTATCTTAGAAGTGTAACTAAAAAATTTAAGTATCTTTGTATTTTCTTTTTTTTAACACCCCCACCTCCGTCCCCAGAAGCACACACAAGAAAAACAAAACAAAACAAAAAAAACAACACGGAAAATAGAGTCCTTAAAAAAGCCAGACACCTCTGAAATTTACCCTGGTTAATACCAGGACTTTCCTGAAAGTACTTTATAACTACATTCCAAAGAGGACCGTTCTTTTCATCAAATGAAACTAGCAAAATCAAAACCAAGCATGGATATGCACAGTTTATTGATACTATTAAATCTGTTCTACTTGAATATATTCTATTTTCTGTGGGTTTATTTTCCAAAAATTAAGTTTCTTAACTTATATACTTTATATAGAAAGAAAGATCTAGTTTTTGAATCTGTTCACTATATGTTAAAAGAAGGTATTTTATTATCATAAATAAATGAGTTACAAAACCCACATGTCAAATCATATTGGTGAAGTGACAAAATAAAGCTTCAGTTTTACTGTGTATATCTATCATAAGTCTGTAAAACCTGTAAGATTGCCCATCTGTATATATTTTTATGCTTTGCTTTGTATCTGAAGCTAGGCACATCCCAAAGTAGTTTCAAAGCCAGAGCTCAGACTTTACTTATGCTCATCATGGAGCTATTGATTTGAAAAGTTAAAAAAAAGTAACCATGAACAAGTGCACAGCAAGTAATTTCTTTGCTCTATACTTATTCATCATATAGTAGAAGCAAATACCCGAGCAAAATCTTTGTTAATGCTACAGTATAAAAAAAGGAAACAACAGCAACACAGTATGCAAAAAAGAAAGCAATACAAAAGTTCAGAGGACAGAATTGTGTCAAAAAACAATGAATTTAAAAAAATAAATAGAGAAACCCTAGGTATGAATTGAGAAGACATGTAATGACTTAAAATTTCATAAATGCTAGGCAGAAAAAAAGCTAAATCAAACCCCTCCACTAGATCAAGTGGTTGCATTCTGGGGTATTCTTCCAAAAGACACCTTTACCTCTGACAGAAGTACATGTGGGTCTCCTGAGTCCCAGTGCAGATTAAACCAGAAGCAAACTAGCCACTGATAGTGTATCATTTCACATACCCTTAAATCTCAGAAGCTGTTCCTAGCTCAAAATAGTCTTTTTCAAGACACTGAAAAAGTCTGTTTAGACACAACTATATAAAATGACTACTGCATTCTTTGTGTTCTAGGCAATCTTAATCCAAAATACTATTCATGGTTTACTTCTTTAAACACAGAAGTTAATTGTTTGCAGGAACAGACTAAGTAAAATATATACTTGTAGGAATAGGCCCTGTGCTCAAAATTCAGGATGACAGTAAGAGTCACAGTACTAAGAAGCGAACTACCCAGAATGCCTTCAGAAAGCAGGCAACACTGGTAATAACCAGCATCCTAAATATGGCAAAACCTCAAAAATATCCTTGCACAATATGGAAAACTGCAGTATGTTACTTGAGATTACACAAGAAACATTCACCAGGACAGCACAGTGCTCTTCCTTTGACAGCAGTTAAGAACCGGCCACTGCTATTAATCCAGTGATGCTGCCTCCACCATCTCATCCTGTTGTACCATAAGAAGGACCCGTCCCTTTGCAAAGGGCTTAGAAATTATACCTGAAATTATCCCTCTAAACATTTAATCATTTACTCATTCACACATAATGTATTGTTTCCCATTCAGTACCCCAAGTGACAACTAGCACAATTTATTTCTGAAAAAAAAATTTTTTGACAGAAAACACTTCAATCTTGAAGCCATGCAAACTAGCAAAGTTATTGGAGGTGAACAATTTCCTTAACAAAAACATGAGATTTAATGTTAGATTAAAACTCTCACAGAATATTTTGAGGTGCCACAGTTACCTGTACAAAGTATTTCATATTATGAAAGCTCCATCCACAGTACAATACATGGAGGTTTTGGTTATCTATAGAGTAGCTTAAAACTACAGTGATTGAAAACCTGGGGAAATCCTTCAAGCTTCACTAAATCGCAAGTCGGCAAATCCTACATTGTACTCAAACACAATCTAGTAAACAGAACCCATACACTTAAAGAGTTATATCTAGCGTGGCAGTGAAAATTTGTTTTCTGGAGTTGCCTATTCCAGCCCAGTTCCTCAACCTTCTTCTACAAGCACCAGGAAACAAAACCATAGATTACCTACCCCATCCCAATCTTAGTTTGTGGAAGTATCATAGGAATTAAAAGTCCCAGTCAACAGCCCAGAGAGAGACAATTTTAATGACCAGGTGTTTCTTAAATTAAATTGTAATTTAGGACAGAATGGCTTCGAGCACACACTGAAGAGTTATCTCTTCCTAATACTTTAATATGCAGCAGTCCAAAAAGCTTTTAGCATCATCAAAAAGTTATAATGTACCTAAGGGTACATTAATGTGTACATAAGTGTACATAATGTACCTAAGGGTACATTAAAAGTATTTCTTCCATGAGAAAAAGTTTAAGATACTAGAAGAACTAGAGATACTTTTCTTCCAGATGGAACTGTAAGGCTTCAAGTGGAAATAGCAGAAAATAACCCTTTATCTAATGACTAAAGCTAACCAACTTCTCTAAGTTACCAAAAAAATAAAATCCTATGTTTTTGGTGGAAAAGAGTCTAATTTTCTAACTCGAAAAAGCTAACAACTTTTACTAGTCAAAGAAAAAATACTTCTGAAAATCAGCTACAGTCTTTTCCTTGTACACTTTGCTATAAATATTTATAGTAGGAAACAAAAAAGTCAGCTGATTAGTTTACCCATTGCTGCATTAAGCAAAGTGCTGACTTTTTGATGTGACTAGATAAACTGCAGTATATAATCAGACATTCAAAATGGCATACATAAAGCTTCTCAGAAGACTGAAGCACCAAAGCCACATACAGCAGCTTGTCAACTATGTCATGCCAACTACCACCAGTCCAATTAACTGTGAAAACAAAGTCTGATACACGTAGCCAAAAAAGTTGTGAATATCTAATAGTGATTCCCTTGAAATGCTTCTTTTCCTGTCTTCTTTATTTTTTTTTAATTGGGAAAAAGAAGCAGAATAAGAAAACAGTACTTAATTTCTTCTCTGGAAAAAAGCTCCTAGAAAGTTACTGGCATGGCAAACATAAGGTTACTCCTCAAGGCACGACAAATTTGCCATCACCAGGTCCACTAAGTATCACATTCAAAGACTACATGATTTAAACTGACAGAAATACTGCAAAAGTTAGCTACTCCTTGTCCACCTAGCATAATCCTTTTATCACGTAGAAGGTGAATGGCACAGGGAGGGAAAGGGGGAAATAAAAAGAGCCAGGAGGAAAAGGACAATCAGCAGAAACTATGCATTTCCCAACACCAGGAACTGGAAAGTAGTAACTTCGCCAGCTCTTGGAAGTGCTTCACTGATACAGTGCTAAATGTCAGAGGTGCTTTCCAGCACCTGACCCAGTGACTGACTGTTCCTTTGGCTCACACTGTCTTGATGGCCAAGGTCAGTCTGTAAAGAAATCTGCCCAAACACCTAAACATGCTAGTTCAACAGCTGAGTTTAAGCAAACACTCGAGCATGGTTTTAATCCAGAAGAAAAAAAGAAAATCAAAAAAATCTGACTCATGTTGCAGATTTATGTACTCAAATATAACTCCAGCCCTTCAACCTCATTAGTACACAGAAACACAATCATCTCACAATTCATAAAACACTCAGCAACCATTCTCACTGTCAAAACCTTGATTTGTACCATTTATCTTACAAATTATACTTTAAGCAATTAAAACAGTATCACCTACCTCCAGTATGCAAAACCCTGGTTACCCTTCTTCTCATAAACTCTAAGATTTTTCAAAGACGTTGTGAAAATTTGTATGTGTCTTTTAATGCATCTAAGCTTTCAGGATGACAGTTTCAGGACTGTTGCCTCTGCAGCTGTTGCAAAAGAAAGGATGCTCAGGTGAGCCCCTCCTCCCCCCCTACTTCCATCTTTCTATGTTTAACTTACAAAACAGTATTTCCAAATGTAAACCATGCAGAATCGTCCATGTATCCAGGACACACACTGAACAGTTCATAATCTTCTTGATGCTTAGCACAGGGTATTGCACAGTTAAGCTGTGGGTAGCAGAAGAGCTTGAAAACATACCCAGACATAGACTGCCATTCCAAATCCCTCCTAAGCACTCATACTACTAGCAAGTTGCCTTGTTCAGCACTCTCACACTCACTCCAAGAAACCTGATTTCTCCTCTAAGTTGTTTAAGGAGTTTAAACACTTCAAATACTGCAGTTTTATACTCCAGGGCCAGGGTGACTTGAGCAGCATTCAGTTCTTTCAGGCATTAGCAATTCATATCAGAGGAGCAATCTCCTAAGAGCAAGCAGCTCGCAGATACTGAAATTCAGTAAGTTTCAAGTAACATATTGAGAGCCAAAAAACAGGTGGTTCTCAGATATGTCCAGCAGAGTATCACATGAATTTTAAAGACTGCAAAGTCGATAATCATAAGATACATTGCTGACAAGTTGTTGAGTGACAAGCTGAACGTCTACCCTAGACTAAAACCTAAACATGAGGTGAAACAGCAAGCTCGTTCTGTAATCCAAGAGGACTTCAGGGAGTCTTCTCCAGAGTCTTCCCTCTCTAACCATAGCTGCGCATGCATAATTTCAGGGAAGTTGCTCCTAGAAGAAGTAAGCTAACTAATATAAACCAGCTGATTGTGCATTACCATCTACTACCAGGACAACTGAATATTTTTCAAGTTCAAAAGCTTCCAGTTAGAAGTCACTCTACAAATTTCTTGAATATGAAAACTTAAGTATGAGCACTGCCATCTCCAAAACCTGAACTGAAAGCTAAGCCTTAGCTCAGGTATCACTTCACACAAACATGGATCAGGTATCACTTCACACACCAAGACTACTCCTTGGTTTGAGATCCTTTCCTCACTTTTTGGAAAAAAAAAAATAAACTTATTTTTATGAAACTTTCAAAAAAATAATGTACTTC